GTTGTTTATTATCCTGGTTGATTTAAATATAATGTATGAGGTTTAGAGATGAGTAAATGCAGTAGTATGATTTACTCACACTTTGTCTAATTAAAGTTTAAATGGTGTAGAATCGAAGTGAATTTTTACTATTTATAATTTTTGTCTGTGCACTATTTGATAACGAAATTCGTACAATAACTCCATCATTTCTGTTTATTACCTTCAATCATCGGATGGACTTATATCTGCTTCTGTTATCCAGCTCCTAGGTTTATACTAGAAACTCGTAATTTTATGTAAATTTTCTAACATTATAATTCCTTACACTGTTATATTATTTACTACCAACAGTCCAGTATAGGCTATGTATATTCCATTCTATCGAAAACGTGTCATGTAGATACACTTTCATTTGAATTTTTATGCTCCTATTGTATGTTTAAGAATTATTACCTAGTTTTCCAAACTCCAAAGCTTTATCGCCGAAACTATTGTATGTCAATGATAGCTAGTTGTCTATTTTTAGGTACTCAATCTACGTTTGTGTCCTTTCAGCTTTACTTCTGTATCTTTTCATCAGCAAACACGAATAATTTTATTATTCATCAATTTTACGATTTCTTGTTTTGGTATCTAGTTTTAACACTATAATTCATTCTCTACAATAAATTTAATACTAATATTTTGGTTATTTGCTCATCCAGTTGTTCATATGAGTCCTTATTATCACATGGGTTATTGAGTACGAGTGGTAACAATTTGAAAATAAATTATGTTTTAGCGAATTATTACTATTTTTATGAGTAAATATTTTACTGATTATTTCGATTGAAATTTGCGTGATCTAGGCTGATGGAATATATGATATTCAATGAAAAGTAGTAAAAAGTACGCTCTTTTTATTACGATATGAAAGAGTTTCCAACTACTGTAATTTCGCACTAGCCTAATATAATACTTTAAAAACTAGTCAAATTTCAATATGTATTTCATTTAAGTCAATTGTTCTAATGTTGTAAACAAGTTTAAAAATAGTTTAACTTCGTCTAAATTTATTATATAAAAGTTAGTAGTTTCTAGTAAGAAGTAAATACACTTAAACGTAGAGTATTTTCATCGTTTTAAAGGATAACTGATGTATATCAACATTTCTATTTAACCCAGTAGAATTCGACATATTAAGCTTTATATTTATCTTATTATTCAGTTTTTTATGCAGTCCCAGATCCTAAAAATAGTTTTTTTTTAAAACATTTTCTTAAGAAATGATGGTATATATATTTATAGAGAGAGGGGGAAATAATTTAATCATGACTAGTAGACTAAACAAACACGACATTTGTTGCTACTTAGCAACCGATCAACCATAAATGTCGCAGTCTTAAAGATCAGCCGCTTGTCGTACTCTCAGTGGTAGTGTCTCAGAAATTGATGCTGGGTGATGCAGATTCTTGTCCTTCAGGGTGCAGGTACGCCTTATTGATGATTGTGAACCGGTACGTAACCTACGTCTATGGTTTTTTGTTGACTATTTCCAATCTCACATGTATTTATCAGTTAGTAGCCTATCATAAATTTTTAAAGATAGATTTTAATTGCTGATAGTTTTAACTTTCAACCGTTTAGTGGAGATAGATTCGATTTCTACTTTATCTACTTTGGTTTAAGTGTCTCGTTTATATCGTCAATCCTTTCTCTAATTACACGACTGGAAACTGAATTCACGAATCTGTGTTAGCATATTACGTTAAATCAAGCTCTTTTTGTAACTTAGATATATACCGGATATGATTTTGCTTTTTCTGTAAACCTATGAGTATACTGTCTCACTACTGAACTCTTAACATATTGAGATTTTTTGTGAATAAATGTTTATTCGAAATTCCAAAATGTCTATTAAAATGTATCATTAATTTACGCAATGGTGTGACTTACAGTGAATTATTATTATTATTATTATTATTATTATTAGCTTTATTCAATATTACATTTTCGGTACAATATAGAATTTTCAGCGTAAAGTATTTCAACAAGTTTCCGTTTCTTTCTTCTTGGTCGGTCCCGGCGATAAATATTGAGTGATCGCCAGTTAGATGTTAAAAGTCCAGTAAACGAACATCTAAATAATGTGCATTCTTTTCGCTGTATATTGCCAGCAACCACATTGTCTCTTATTGAGTTTTTTGTAACTTTGACAACGAAAGGTTGTACACTTTTCAGAAACGCAGCAGAATAGGTTATGCGATTAATAGACATAACGATACATTAAAACAAACAAAAATAGATAACTTGTTGAAATATCTAGATGGCAGGAACAGGTAGCCCAAATGCTCAAGCAGGCAGCCCTTCACCGTTTTTATTGAACACTTTTTAAGTGACATCATTTGTAGAGAGATATCAGTTGTATTATATTTCTAAACTTATTTGAAAATACAACCTTTCTCTGTTTATTTGTTTGACTCCCAATATTTTTAGCTCTCAAAGTTTTTTCAGCAGTTTACTTGGTGTAAAATCAGTAGTCCAACGATGGGAAGTAAGTTTCTAGTTTTCTATCCTTTTTTCTATATTTTGTTTTTTAGCATTTGTAATACATAAGAAAATTTTTATGACATATAGATACGAGTCGAGAATATCCGTTTCAATAAATTCTGAACTTCTGAAGTTATACAACTACATACACTGACTACGGCTTCCCACGGCTGAGAAGCCGTGGTCAGTGGAATTCAACCTTGTCTGTTGTGAGGAAGTTATCGACCGAAGATAATGAAAGATGGCCGCGCAATATCGTGGATTGGTTGGGATTGGACATTAACACTGTTGGATACCGGCTCAGTGGTTTAGAGGTTAGGCATTTGCGTGAAAAACTGAAGGTTCAGGGTTCGAGTCCCTCATGCGGGATCGTGGATGCGCGCTGCTGAGGAGTCCCATACTGGGACGAAACGACCGTCCAGTGCTTCCATGCTTTCAATGACAATCTAACATTGATCGGTTAATGATCTCAATTATGATAAATAATTGTAGGGTGAGAGAAATCAACATATGGTTACACATCAGATCGAACGTATTGTCAAAGACTACATGATGTATAAAATGGTATTAATTAATGAATAAATAGTGAAGTGAAGTGAGTGTTAACCTAACTCTTCGTGCGTTTGGAAGGTTTTTTTATTGTTAAAATCATTAAAATACAAAGATGTGTGAATAGTATGTATGATAATTTCAAGTTGTGAAAATACTCAAATGAAGACTGTTTAGATTCATTAATGAGATTGGATTATCTTGTAATTAAGATTATTATTCACTCATCGGGCATGAAATTAACCAAGATACAAAAAGCGGTTGAATATACGTCGTTCATACACTGACTACACTTTTAAAAAACCGTATGATTATTCCCTCGGTTGTCTGATAAATTTTCTTCAGACATTTAAAAGTACAATATTTCTTGACATTACAGTTGGGGCATACTTGATTGGAATCTTTCTTCTTTCGATTTGTGTGAATAGATTTACTTTTGTTAAGCAAGCACAATAGGCATTGTTTGATAAAGTAAATTCATTTCATCTCATGTACTCTGCATTTTATATGCATTGATTTATTTAAATAAGTTTAAAAAGATTAAAATTTAATTTTTTATGCAACATATATCCAGTCACTTAGTTCACTAAGGAATGTTCGTATAAAACTTTCTATATTCACACAAGTTCAATTTACGGGTAAATAATTTAAACGAGAGAAACAAGATGATATAATCTACGTTATTTTGTCTTCATCTCAATTTATATGTACAACAGGAACTATTTTGTTCACCTGGCACTGCCATGGTGACCGTTTCATTGGTAACCTTCCCTTCTTTATTTGTTTTCTCATCAAAATATTTAAAACTTTCCTTGTTGGTTTTACCTCATTTTCATTTGGTCACAATAACACTTATTGTTCATGTGAGCAATCTTTTCATTCCTAGTTTATACTTATTAAGACTGGTCCTATCATTTTAACATGATTCTGTGGAATGTTTGACCATTTATCTTTTTGGTCTTTTTTTCGTACCCTCTCCAACCATTATCATTATCATTAGTAATGTTATTATCACGACTATTATAATTACTTTTAATTACTGTCACTTTCATCATTCTGTCCACTGTTGTCGCAACAATTTTCATATGCCTCCTGTACCCGATTATTTCATATACTCTTTGTTGTCTAATTCAGTCACTTATAAATTTGACTTGCATGAATATGGAAAGTGGTATTGATTATTTTTCACTGGTGAACTGCACGACTGTATACATGTCATACATATAATTTGATATGTAAAACATTTATCGTGGATGTACGCTACTTAGGCGTCCCACGTTAGGACGAAACGGCCTTCAAGTGCTTTCAATTTTTCAATAGTGGTCTAGCATTGGTCGGTTCATGATCTCAATTACAGCTCAACAATCTCCCCGACCCTATGCTGATAATTATCTAACTTGATTAATATGTGGAAAATTTAGAGTACACGAAATCAAAAGAAATTTACCTCATTTCATAATCCTTGTTATTCTTGCTCGAAAAACGTTAATCAATGGGACTAAAGTCGTGGAATAGATTTGTTGTGAGATTTAGCTTTCTGCAAAATAGATACATCACTTGACGAAATAATTATTGAATAACGATCACAGTAATGGATTCCTCTTCCTAAGTTATCAAAATCTGGTAAAGAAAGTGAATTGATTTGAAAAAAAGTGTAAGCATATAGATGGTTTTTTTTAACGAAACCTTTAATTTCTGTTTAGCATTAGTTTAAAAGAAGGGTGTTTTCTACGAGCGAAATTAGTAGCGTAATACAACGAAACTTTGAAGATAATCGAATACCATTATTATTCTTGATTAAATAAATAATTCCATTAATAAAGTAGTCAAATTTTCTTAATTTCTTATAATTTAAAAACATTTCGTAGCACGGAGAATTGAGTAATTTCGAATACTTAATGTATTTAAATACACAAGCTGGTCGCTCATATAATGATCTCATCCAGTATCCTGTATTTCCATGGGTACTTGCTGATTATGAATCTGAGGAATTAGATCTGTCAAGACCAGAGACATTTCGTGATTTATCGAAGCCGATGGGTGCACAAACACCTGATCGTCTAGCTCAATTCCAACGTCGTTTTAAAGAATGGGATGATCCTACTGGAGAAACACCACCATATCATTATGGTACACACTATTCATCTGCTATGATTGTAGCATCTTATCTCTTTCGAATGGAGCCTTTTGCACAACACTTTCTCAAGCTTCAGGTATGTTGTCCTACATTAGATATTCATTTTTTATTATTTCTTACATGTTTTGAAATATTCTCTAAACATCTCATGGCCTAAATTTTGCCACTTATCAAAATTAAGCAGTTAAGTTTATCTTTATTTTTGAAAAAAAAATAATATTCTACTAGCATCAGATATTTAGTCGGTTATAGTCAGGTTTTATGATGCTTATTTATTATTTTATTTATTTATTTATTTGAACACATAAATATTGGTACAAGAGGGCACCAAATATTTATGTGCCACACAAAACAGTGAGGATGGGAAGAGACAAAAAGAAGGTAAGGAGCGTAAAAGAAAAAAAGAACAATAACGAACAGATTAGTGCAAGATAATGTACTACTACTAATAATAATGGGGGAAACGGAAAGGTACAACCAGAAGAATTCTTTCAGTTAAGGAAGATACAACCACTTTTTATGAAGAAAGTAAAAGAAGGTTACAGCAGGATCGCCACTGGCTTCTATTCTGAGCCATATCTGATAACGTCTCTAGCCACTGTGTCGCACCATTTCTCGGACCCCAGCCAGTGAGTCGAGAAGGATCAGGTGGTTTTCTTAGGGAGCCACACTCCGAGCCTTAGACCTAAAGGTCTGACCTACAAGGCAGTGGAGCATCGTGAGAAGATGCAGTCCCATGGTAGCCGGTGACCAACGGTTGGTTCATACGCCATTTGTTCCCTCAGGACACTGGAGCCCATGTGCACCATTGGTTTGGAATCTGGCTAAAGCCCCGGACATCGCTTTTCGCTCTCTCATTTTCGTAAACAACACCTCCGTGACGAGAAGGCAGTGAGTAGGACTTCCCTGGAAGAGGCTGTATACGCGTGGCCGTGTGAGAGCACTTCGAGTGGGAGGGCGGGCCCATTCCATTCTCGGACATACCAGGGCATTTGGGAGCATTTATCATTTATGAAGCTTAAAGAGTTCTGGTTCTTTTTTTGTCGACACCGTGCTTATAAGTGATAAAACTGTCATCTGTAAGGACTACACACCTTAGTGATTAGTGACTTCATGGCGGTTTTCACCTATGTATTCCATCAAATTGACTATAAAAAGGATTGGAAATGATTGTAAACAAATTGTTTTAAAGCTCCAAAGATAATTTTCAGTTAACTCCAATTTATCTAAGAAATAAATTATATGTATACTAATAAAATGGGAACATCGCTATTGTATAAGTTTAACTACTCAGTTTTGTATCAGATTAATGCATGAATGTCGAGTAAATTCCTTTATATATGTATCTTAATATATATTACACTAAATAGTATTTTTTTGTGAACAATCCAAATTTACAGTTTATTACAAAATTGCAAATTTACTGCTTTTATCCTCTTAATTATGTTTTCTTTTAAGGGTGGTCATTTCGATTTACCCGATAGAATGTTTCATAGCGTTCGAGATACTTGGATTAGTGCAAGCCGACATAATATGGCAGATGTACGTGAATTAATACCTGAATTTTTCTATCTACCTGATTTTCTTATCAATTCAAATCATTTTGAAATGGGCATTAAACAGAATGGTGTTGAAGTGAATAATGTAGTATTACCACCATGGGCTAAGTCTGATCCACGTGAATTTATACGTGTTCATCGTGAGGTAAGTATATACAAATTAACATGTTTATGTTTGAGCGCATACATACATTTCAGCTTTCATATATTAACGTGTTTGTCCGTTATCTGTATTTTAATGATATTTTTATACAAAATGATTTACCTATAATAGGTTGAAGAAATTTATTAAAATCTCTTAGAAAAATCTATCAATCGATACATCTGGAATTTTTTATTCCGAAAATTATTTTTACAATAAAACGAAATGATACACTGTAGATTTAACCATCTGATTTTCAGAATAGTCGAGTTTAAATAGTATTATGTAACATCAATTAGAAGTGGGATGCCTGGTTAGCAGACGGTTAAGAAGATCGAATCGAAAAGAACGGGGATTGAAACATGAAGGAATTGAGAATTGGAAGAATAATGAAGGATGTGAAGTATAATTCATGAGAGATTCACAGATGATGTACTTAATGTATGGTTTTTTCACATTTGACAAAAGAACTCTGTTATTTCGTATTACGTAACAATTTGGTTACCCCTACTTGAGTTCTTCTCCACTACAATAGTATTTTCCTTACATTTTTTTGGTTAATTTTAAAACAATTATTTCTTAATGCATTTACTACTTTATTGTTGAGAGTGTACAACTAATTTATTTAAAATTTACAGTATTTCATCATTGCTGACAACAATAAACCTTTAACATTGAATTTTTACAGATAAATAATATTGAACTATTAACTGTCTTCTTATATCAGCCCTGGTACGGCCGAGAGTGGGTAGAATCCTCTCTCCCTCTCGAAATGCTTTCACGTGGCCACGTGTATACAACCACTGCCAGGGAAGTCCTACTCAATGCCTGGCAAGAGTGTTGTTTGCGAAATTGAAAGGACGGAAAACGAATGTCCGGCGCTTTAACCGGGCTGGTGGACACGGAGTGTCCGCCTAGGGGGAGTTGGAAAACCGTGATATCAAACCAATGGTGCACATGGGCTCCAGTATCCTGCGGGAACAAATGGCGTATGAAGCAATCGTTGATCACCGTCTACCATGGGACTGCATCTCCTTATGATTATTCACTGCCTTATGGATCATACCTTTAGGTTAAAGGCTCGGGGTGTGACTCCCTAAGAAAACAACCCGCTTCGGTCTGTGTACCCGAGCAGCATTCCAGCCCTCACACATATTGAATGATTTATGTGGCGCATATCTATTTGGTGTCTCCTTGTAGCAATGCTTTTGTGTTTAAATAAATAAAAATAAGAATTTGATCGTATTATGAAATAATTATCTTGATTTCAACAAATTGAATACATTTTTCTCATGTCGTTTTTCATACTTCTCTTTTTCTATAAGCAAAAGCTTTCTTCGTTAATTTCTCTCATTTATCATTTATATTAAAATTAGCTTAAACATTATTTCTCGTCTATTTTTTTAATGAAAGTTATTTTTTCGTCTGCGGAAGTAGGCTTGATTGCTAACTTTTCTTTTTCATCTAAATATTCATTATATTTATTTTGTTGAATGATCGATTCACTTGACGTTATTGAGATTTTGTTTATTTTTATCCCCTAAATTGTGTTATTTATTTATTGTTTTTTCTTGCTTCTTTTGTGATTGTTCTGATAATTAATAACCTTTAGTATTGATTCATATTGTTATAGTGAATGTTAATAATACCACTTGACTTCGATAAACTGAAATGGATGTATCTAATTTCTAACCACCAGTCTCAGTGATTGATACACATGTATATAGTTTGAGAAATAATTATTTTGTGTTGGAGATTATTGTGTTTGATATCTTTTGTAAACATGGCATAATCGATATGAGGATTTCGTTTCAAGACTACTTTGAATATAAATTTTCATCGGTCGAACATGGGTAAAAGCTAGAAAATATGTTAACATAACCCTTTAGAAGCATAGATTGAAGGTATCTAGGTTTCACGGTTATTTATAACTCATTGAAATGTTTGTCATATTGCTAAGTCAATGATGCTGGTTAAGAACTGATCAACTACTATGTAACTTGATTACTTTTACAAGTAATATTTTACATTTAAGTGTTTGAACTTCTTAGCAATTTGCCGAGTACTATACAGTACTGAGTTTCATACAAGAATCGACCCTGTGAAATTCTGAGAGGATTTAATGTATCTTAAATGTAAAGTTTTTGTTTCCCTGCACGGTAGAGTTGTGAGCACTACCTTATTCCGGTAGTAGGTTATTTTGTTATTCTCAAAGTTGAAAATCACTCAGTCACATTGTATTTAAATAACTAATTTTGATACGACTTCATCGATTATTAACGATATACTTGATATTAATAGTTTTCGACATTTTATTACAAATTTGTTACCATATGAGGTCAACTAAATGTAGAACTATAAAATACAGTAATTGGTAAAAATAAGTGAGTAGTCTTTATTTTATCCCATTTAAATGTTAACGTCAGAAATAATGACTTCTAAACTCCATTCATCATCGTCATCTTCCTCGTCGTAACAATGGTTAGACGATTGTGATTTAACCATCTGATCTGAAACATTTAAACTAGTATTTTAGAACGATTTTTTCAACCGACTACTACTAAGATATTTTAATCAAATACAAAATAGCTTATAATATTATTTGTCTAAGTTTTCAAATATACTTTACCATAAATTAAATTTTATATTGCAAAATTAGTTAAATGTAATATTTTACTGATTATAATCTATTTTTAGGCTTTAGAGAGTGAATATGTATCAGCACATTTACATGAATGGATTGATTTAATTTTTGGTTATAAACAACAAGGTGAACATGCAATACAAGCAGCTAATGTTTTTCATTATTTATTCTACGAAGGTAATGTCGATATCTATTCTATAGATGATCCATTGAAACGTTCTGCTGTAATTGGTTTTATTAATAATTTTGGTCAAATACCAAAACAATTATTTAAAAAACCACATCCATGTCGACGTGTGATTATTCCACGTCCATCTACACGTTTTTTTAGTTCAGCGATAGGATTTAATTCTGGTAGTCAATTAGCATGTGAATTATTCTATCGAAATCTTGATATTTTAAGACCTAGTCTTCAACCTATTAAAGGTTAGTTTTATTTGTGATAAAAACAAACAACTTTTTCTCATATCAATAAAACTTGTTTGTTTATTTTTCATTTGTGTATAAATCCAATTAAAAACCGATCGATTAATTTATAGCGATCAAATTTTTAGTATCATGACATTTTTTATGTACATAAACTATATTTTATCTTTTTAATTGAACATTAGTACAATTCTATGTTTATTATTCGGTCTGGGCACCCGGGCAGTATCACAGCCCACATACAAATCAAGTCACTAGTTTGGCACATTCGTATTTGGTGCTACTTTGTACCAATATTTCATATGTTCAAATAAATAAGAAAAAAATATCATCCAATTTGAATTATGATTCGTATACTATGTAAATATAAAATAGCTTTTGGTTGCGTTATGTCATTTGATCTGGGGGATTTAAATTGCATAGCTTTCGTTTTTACTCTGGACCACATCATTAGCTTTTAGTGGGGCCCTTCATTTTAAGGTTAATTAGATCGGACGATCACGTCGAACTCACCACTTTAGTGGCCTGGGATCTGACTCCAATAATATCATATGATTGGTTGTTATTGAAATACTCATGTCGTCTATCGTCGTATATAATTATCGACTTAATCCACGTTAGTGAATAACGGAATTGAAAAAAACCAAATGCGATTATTGATTTTAAATATGTATATTTCATGCAATCATTGATTTGGACGGGCAATGAGGGAGACGAAATAAAGAAGGAGGAGCGAAGGAAAATGACGCACAATGGAGGAATGTGAGCCAACTCAATTTAACCATGCGTGAATCGATATTTATAGCCGAACGAAATTAGTTACAGACATGTAATGAGTATAATAAGGAACACATATATACGCTTACATAAACAGTCAAGTTTGATAAGCGAATAATCAACAAGGTCAAAACTTGGCTCAAGAAGGATGAATAGATTGGCATGTCCGGAAGCTGGAATAAGCTATGTGGGCTTGACATAACACTACAAGCTCATACGTCCTGTAGAATTGAACTATTTAATTAATCTATAAGTGTTAAACCTGACGAATTCGTCTGGGACTCGTTGTTTTCAGAGGTTCTATCAATATAACTTTCTTTTGAATTTCTCTTCAGTACTTTAGTGTGTCGATCATTACTCATATGATTAGTTGACCATTTCCGTACAAGTTGATTATTAGCGTCTATGTCGATATGTTTATTTTTTGCAGATTAACTTGACTACCATGTTTTCAGAAGTTTTCTACAATTTTTTAATTTCCCTAAAATCGCATGTAAATAGGACGATTATGGAAGGTTGGGAGTGCTGGTGTTATGCGTTATTTTGTTTCTTATTTATTATACCTCATTACCATGTGTTCAGTGACTAATGTTTCTGAAATGTTAGAGAATACTTGTAGTTTATTCTACTTGAATTAAAAGTAAATGAGGATATGAAGGACGATAACCAAAAGGTCCCAAAACTAAACCATTGAGTGATAACGATGATATATCACTAGAACTTCTATTTATGTAAACTTATTTGTATGTTAAAGAAGTATACATAGCACTTGTTAGAGTATGGGATAAGAATAGGAACTGGTTCTTCGGTGTACATACGCATCTTTCCCGGTGATATTGATAGATTAGCTGCGAGTGTAAACGGTGACAGTTGAATGATATGAGTTTGTTAAATAAATAAAATCTATTCGGGTCAAATATTCTTTATGATCCCATTCCTCTTGGAGTCATAGTTATTGTATCACTCATCAATTGTGTTTATCTGTTATAGCTCATTCCTATTCGGTTTGGAAAATAGTTAATTTCAATAACTATTACTGATTAATCCTTAATAGTTGGAGCACTTGACTTTTAACTAGTGATTTTTGGAATTGAACCGTGGACTTCATAAACTTGTATTTCGTAATAGACAAGCTATTTTGGCGCTTTTCTAAATTAGCTTACGTAAACATCAATTATCCTATGTCATTTATCTTATGCACTCTATTCAATGAACATGTATTGAAGAGAATTCGAAAATTAAGCTAAATTAAAGCAAAGTAAAAGTAACTAGATTTCTAGAAAAAGATGAACTCGTTCTATTTCCAGAAATAATGTAAACAAAAACAAAGTTTCAATATAAATTATTTAGTGACGAGGTAGATTATTAAAAATCATAATAAGAACAATAAGACATAAGATTTATCATTAAACATTACTAAGATTGATCCATTTTCATGCGTTTAAGTACTCATACACAGGAGGGTTAGGTTAGATTATAAATATCATTAAGCATAGTTACAATAATATGATATTACTCAGCTGTAATAAAAAATATTTACACAATTGATTAACATAATTGGAACCAAATTCAAATTAGTTTATCAGCATTCATGAGATTGTGTAAGAAATAAATAGTTATATGGTTATGATCACATTCATTATGGCAAAGAGAAACCTATCTCGCTTTCCTATTGTTCATATAGGTCAGGTCAGAAAAGTTTAATAGTAATTGTTTCTGGGAAATATAGTGAAATTAACGTTAGCTGTTTGTTAATGATTTAGAACGCTTCACAGATATCCTCAGTAATTCTACTATCGACCAGATGCTTGAGAGATTTCACTTGTAAAGACCTCACTGCCTCTTAGACGTTGGTTTGTGGCATCGTGTTTAGAAAACCTGGTTGAGGAACGTTTTATCATTCCTTCTTTATATATCGATTTGTGTATTGTTTTCCTTTTTGCGTATTCTTCTCACATAGATAGTTTCATTTCAGTTATATACTTTTCATTTAGTGTTCTCACCATTAAATTTCATTTTGTTATAATTTAGAATTAAAACATGCAGTTGGTCAAATTGTACAGTTAGATCCACAATTTATACCGAGCGGTACAAATATGAATATGATGAATACAGGAGCTACAGTGAATCGTCCTTTACTTAGCTTAAACATAAATTCAGATAATCTGAATTTTGATAATGTTAATTTAACTGGGAATGGCAATTTAGGAATAAGTTCCGGAGGTGGTTATCAAACATCGACTACAACTTTAATTGGTGGACCAGTTGTTGCAGTTGAACAAAATAAATGTCTTTTACCACCAAATTATACACATTATCTTGCATGGGGTTTTACAGATGGGAGTTTACGCTTAGGCTCTTTATTCGATGCCAATGAACGTGCACGATGTATATTTGAGATGGTTGATCAAAATGAAATATTATGTTGTGCATCACCAAACAGGCATACGATTATTACAGCTGGATTAAGTACTGTAGTGCGTGTGTGGTTTGTAAGTGATTACTTTTTCTGTATATGTTCTATTTCTCAATTTTAAAATGTATTTTCTTTGTGACTGTATTTTTATTCTCTGTCTAATTCATGGCTTTTTTATTAATTTCAAATACAATGAATTATATCTTAATTTACTTGGTTTATGATTTAATCCATATGTTCAAATTGTTTAAGACTGAAATCGTTTCTGTTCATGATAATGTACTATGTATTCTAAACGTCCGTCTATCTCGACGAACGAGGATATATGATGTATGAGTAGGTTTCAAAAAAGCTAAGGATGGCCAAACCGAGATGTAGCCGCAGTTCATGAAGTCATTGATTTTTGGTCTGAATCATGTAAATAAATTCAAAATATCAGGTAGGGATTCGCGCAATTATCGTAATTAATGTTTCGAGACTTTACATGACATTGCTTAAAGGGGGTCTTGATGAGACAGATACATTCACTTTTTGCTTTCTTTTAAGTCTTGAGTTTCAAAACTATTTGATAGTTTTCATTTGGCTGATTCATTCTTCTCAAATAATATCTTTTATACTTAGTGTTATCTCCTACCACTGATACTTGTTCTACTACTCTGACATTTGTATTAATAAATTCTATTTCTGTTGATACGTTGTGGAAACTTAAACCAATGTATATTTATGATATTTTCTTCATTACTGATAATTGACTGATTAACTGATTTTCTCTTAATGTACTGATGTGAAATTCATTAGTTTGACTTCATGTATATTTATAAATATGATCGTATGTTGTTTTATATATCTGCTTGATAAAAAGACCAAACTGAGCGAACAAGCAAAATATGAAATAGTTTAACTAAATTAATTTTTTTTATCAAAATTGTGTCAGAAGAAATATACTTAAATGTATGTAGAATATTACTTTTTGTGATTATGGATTAGATTTTCACTCATTTGAAAATATAATGACAATCATAGTAGATAATTAAATATATTGTAATGAACGAGAACACAGGCGGCGGCAGTCAAATATGTTTTAATGCAGCATTACAGAATATCTGAGACCCATACAGTAAATACTTCATTTGCAAAATATCAATCAGTTGTCTCAGACTTTGTTGTTCCTTCGTTGCCATACCAATCACTCTCCGTTCTCGTTCTCTTCTCTCCGATCTTCTCAAATTTCTGCCTTCAGGCATTCAACTTTTGATTGATGATAAATACTACTTATAATTGTCGACATCAGTGGCACACACCACAATATAAACTATTTGTGAATTCTCAATCGACTCACTGTTCTGTTGAAATGATCAATTCATCCTGTTAAGTTAAATTAATTAACATTATGTACTTAGTGATAACATCTTTAATGGCAATCCCTAATGAGATGTAACCTTTATCTGGTTTAAAAACGAAATTTTAACAAATATTTCAGTGAATAAAAAAATTAACTAACCGCTTTGCTTCCTGTATGTTAATCTAAAAAATATATTAACTTTTCTATTCGATATCATGTCGATAGATTTAAATGTCATACGTCTTCTTAAAAGAAGTTAATCAGAACTAATAGTGAATGCATTAATTCAGTTACGTTTCTATGACTAGCTCTTGAATTTTCGTTCTAAAGATTGATAGCAAATGATTAAAAATTGTGTAATGATGATTCGTGAACGTTTTTTGACTTTCAAACTGATTATACATAAGTATTCTGCCATAGTTTTGGCACAATCTATGTATATTATGCTTAGAAGACTTTTAATCGTTAAAAGCAATCTATTCACATAAATTTATTTCATACCCCCTAAACATATACCTTTTCTTCTCGACTAATTCACAGCTTAATTCTCATGAGGTTGGCAATAATATGGCAAGTTCAAATAATCCTTCCAGTGTTGGAATGGTATCAGGTTTATCATCATCAGTCTACGGATGTCAGTCTTTTGGAGATTCGCGTCTTAAACTTCGTGCAACACTTTATGGACATACCGATGCTATAACTTGTTTAACTGCATCTGATTCATTCAATCTTATTGTTAGTGGAAGTCGTGATAGAAGTTGTATATTATGGGATTTAAGTCGTTTATGCTTTTTAAGACAATTACCTAATCATATTGCACCGATTGCAGCTGTTTGTATCAATGAAGCTACAGGTGATATTGTAAGTTGTGCTGGTACACAATTATATTTGTGGAATTGTAATGGTGAACCAATTGCTTCAATTGATACACCAGTTGGCCGTAATAAACAAATTCTTTGTGTTTGTATGAGTACAGTAAGTTATGTTAACTATGTACATTTTCTCTAGAGTATTTTTTTATCATTTTGTATGAATTGAATAAGATTCTCATTGATCACCACAGTAATAATCAATTTTATGTTTGTTTAGTCCTTAGTAATTTATTATCGAGGTATTTGGTTATCAAACTAAGACCTCGTGATTAAAACTCTGAAATATGATAGTTCAGAACACTATAATGACCGAATTACTCTATGATAAAAACTGAAGCCTATCGAAGGGTCTCTACTCGTAATTTGTTTTCGATTTATGATGATGACATTCACCTTCGATTAGTAAATTTCTCTATCGGTGGTGAACTTAACAAAATGTATCTTCTTGAAACTTCTAACCCACCTTTGCTTATCAGAGCGTGTACATTAGGGCAATATCGAGGCATATGCACAGTATGCACATATGCCAATAACAGACTGATCAATTGCAGTTTTAAACCTCAATAGGAAGATACAAGCAAAACAATACCAAGTTATTCTATTCCATAGACTGTGAATGTATTAAATATGATACTGAATCATTCTTGTTCTTACTATTTAATATATCGGATGTCATGTTATGGTACTTTTTTCATTTTTTTTAAAAAAAAATATAGCTTTATGATTGGGATGCTGAGAATGTTATTTTAACCGGTAGTTCAGATGGTGTAGTACGAATGTGGTGCTTGAAACACGTCTACTCTACAGATAATGATAGCGATGCAATTGACAAAAACACCTTGAATGCTAATCGAATTGATAATAGTGGTAATCAACAGGAGATTTCCCCTTTTAATCCATCAGATGAAAACACTGTAGATGAACCTCGAACCAAAGATTTATCGGTAAGCTTTACAGTTTCTAACTCTACAGTGGTGCATCCCAGATTGATGACAATTACGATCATTCGCCTTTTAAACTATTTTTTGGTTAAAAGATGGTTTTCTTCAGTGACTGACATCAGCTGAAGATTAGTTTGTCCTCACTGTTTATTGGTTTCAATATCGTTTCCCGAAATTCTAATGTGAATTATGGTGAAGTTAAAAAATGCTGGAAGATATGAGACATTTGTCCACTGAGAGCATTGAGTGACTGTCACAGTACAGTAAATAGAGTTGTAAGTATGGACCACTTATTTCCAACTCACTGATTTGATGATAACGCGCTAGATGTAAGACCTGAAGGACGTCCGTAATTGCTGTCAAATTAGGGAGAATCAATCGTTCAATATTCTATGATTTCCAATGTTTCCGTAACTGATATCAGTCCTTAACAAAACTTATCTTCAAACTTTAAAGTTCTGTTATTTACCCATCTGTTTATTTTTATATTGAAGTTCATATATTAAAATTCGGTCAGTTAATCAATCTTAGTAAATATGGGGCTTGGCACAAGTATACAACTGCTACTATCGTCAGCACATCGAGAAAAAATCCACTAAATGGACAGCTTAGAAGTAGAACTTCAATTTCTCTATACACATATTTCACCTAACCAGGTATTACCATGGTCAATTTAGGCATAACTCAATATTTTTTCGTATCATTCATTTTGCATTATCATTTTAAAAAATTCTTTTCTCCTAAACCTTCCTCCTTTGTCCTTATTGTTTTGATAGACTTTATCATTAGATTCATCTGACAGTATTGATTCTCCTTGTTTGTCTACCGATTTAACATCGAAGAGAATAATTCGGAAAGATTCCAGTAAGTTTATCTTACTTCATATTGTGAGTAAAAAGTGATGGGACAAAATAGTCTCATGGGTTTTTTCAACTCGGAGAAATTGAAAATGCATTAGATGTTTGACTAGAATGTTGTGAGTTTCATTTAAGAAACAATTATTAACTAAGATGGTTTTGTGGATTTTCTAACTGATATTACTTCATTGTGACTGGTGCTGTTGAACTAGCATTCAATAGTCCATCTTACTAGATCACGTTACTTGACCGCTTGGTACGCTCTACTATATTATCCAACCGTTCGATCGTGATTCAGACAGACTGTAACAAGGGTTTATTGAGATACGATACAGAAGAGAGCCATTATGTTCAATAAATTTTACCATATAGGATAGTTTTATATATTTTGTGTGGCTGTATATGTCTGTCTTTAATCCTTGACCAATCACAGGTCGCTAGTGAGACCTAATTCTTCTAAATTACCCCTGAGGTCCACCTTTAAGAAGAATCTTATGCTAACTATTTAAGGTAATTGTTTCCTGTTTATTAAATGTTAAAATTTATCTGAGGATCACCAACGACTTGTTAAATTTTCTTGAGGTCAGAAAATCATAGTACATTCGAAATATCATTATGAAATGAATTTTCAGAATTTCCTTTTTATAAGCTCTTTATTGTTTCACTTCTTCTTCATGATAGCTTTGGTGAACTGAAATATTTCTGTCATTTCTGAAATTGAAAAAATAAAAATCTATTATCAAAACTAACTTGATGCATCGTAGGTACACACCAGGACAAAATAGCTGTTAAGTGCACTCTGGTTTCCGTTTGTACTTTAAATAAAGTCATTTTGTGACAAATACGACATAAAATTTAAATCAATTTCTATTAAACTCACTCAAATAATGAATGTTAAGAGATACAATGTGTTAACATGCACATTTTCGAATAAAATAAATCACTTAATTCATCACACTGTCAATGTAGAAAGACTATCATATATGAAGTGTGTTGTGTATTATTGTCAGTCTGCCCTAAACTAATCTATGGTTGCATTAGAGTAATTATAAAATGTACTAAAAGGTCATTGTTTCTTTGAGTATCATGTAAAAAATTCTTGTATTTTACAGATATTACAAATCCATGCTCACCGTTGCGCGATCATCTACCATTGCCTCACAATCGTCACAGTTTAGTTCCACTGGTTACGGCTTCTCACTAGAACTTCATGTTTTGTTGACTTATGTGGCTAATGCAAATTATAATACTACTTCACCAATATCAACTAACATTCATTATTCTGATAGTTGTGTATATTAATAATATTTCATCTTAGTTCATCATAATAGTACAACTAACTTTTATTTTGTAATATTTATAAGCTACACCATTTAATATAGTGTCATTTATTTAAATATCGTGATTTTAATATCGTAAACATTCTATTGTTATGAAATTCTTATAATTGTAGATGTTAAGAAGTGGTCTCGAGTTCTAGTATTTCGCAGTAAACTTACCATGCATACAGCTTATGAACGTTCCGATAATAAGTCTCCAGCTGATATTACAGCCTTAGCAATATCTCGAGATCATCGTTCCGTCCTAGTTGGTGATGCTATCGGTCGAGTATTTGTTTGGTCTGTACCATCAGATAATTCTCGTGGCGGTATGACTGATCAATGGGTTAAGGATGAAGGAGCTACAAATTGTGCAGCTGATGGTTGTGGGGCGCGATTCTCGTTAACTGAAAGAAAACATCATTGTCGAAATTGTGGTAAAGTATTTTGTTCAAAGTGAGTTGATTTTGAATTCTCTTTAAAATTGCGAACATGATTTATTATATACACTTTAATAGAACTGATTTATTCAAGTTGACGAAAGTTATTTCCATCTTGTATCCATACTCGTTGATCTGTAGTATCTTTGAAATTTCATTTGAATTGGTATTTTGTCCGGAAAAAAATATCATCAATGCTATGTTTTAGTTGTTCATGTACTCAACTGCTAACCAATAAATTGTAGGTTCGAACTCCATTTCGTCTACTAAGGATTAATGTAGCTAGGTAATATTATTTATACTCACGCAACCAGTGTAGCTCAAGGCTGAGAACTACCTTCCACTTGGTTACATCAGATTGTAGTAGGTAAATGCTTGTCAGGAAATCGAGATTTATTTTCCTACTAAAGTTTTAGTCATAATCAATGTAGAGCCTGATAGATATATGCGTTGGATCAAGCTACTATACCAAATTAACGCGATGAAAGGAAATAGAAAAACTAGCGGAGTGTAGTGAATGGATATGACATAAAACTCTCTTCGAACCTAGCACACAACAATAGCGTCATACACTGTTCTTGATATATCAGCCAATTTGAATATCAGTAACATTTACTAATGATTTTAAAAGATTTTATTTGAAGACTGTCATTACTCTTCGCTCTTTCTGTTTATTAAACTTAATGACAATTATTGTTGAAGGTTGTGTGGTAATGAACACAAAGGTTTGTTATTTTGCACTTCCTGTACAATTTTTGGTGAATAAAATAATTTGGTTCAACCAATACTCTAGTTATCAGTGTCATATATATAATACTGATATAAGTTACGCAATTTATGTTGGAGTTTTCAGCGTTTAAACCAAATATTTGTAATCATTATTACGTAAACAAATATCTTTTATCACTTTTTTTCCGCTTGTATTTGTTTTGATAAATATAGATGTAGTCGATTTGAGAGTGAAATATATCGACTAAGGTTGTTTAAACCAGTTCGAGTTTGTCAGTCATGTCATAATGTATTAAAATTAATTCAAGCACCACAAAATCGTGAAGTAATTTCATCTTCTTAATCAAATTCTGGGTGTAAAAACAGTTTTATATTGTACATATATTACACATACTTACATATATGCAGACATACATTCCCGTTATTTATCAAACATCAACTTCATTTTGCTTGGGTAATTCTTGTTTTGAAATATTTATACCTATCGGAATTTTTCTCTTTATTTCTCTGTAAAATTATTTAAGTGTAATTTCTCTTGCTGATTTCTTTGTGCATCTCTTAAAATTTTGTTTTTGTTTGCCAAGAAACTGTGTTTCCGTGTTTCTTTTTATATAGCTAACTATTATCCGTTCTATAGTGTTTTTTCAAATAATATCTACTTTCTGCTCTTAGCTGTTGTGACTGTAATGGTGGTCGGATGCTGATTTTAATGTTCTAATTAATTATCTCTTATGATTGCCCAATGTCTACACATGCATTTTCTCTACTGACTGTATTAAGATTCTGGAGCCCTGTGTTTATTTGTATATATTTGATTTTCCCTCAGATTAATGCGGTTATTTTAATGTTGAAAATTTTGAAATCCTTTATACTGGATTATTCATAATACGAATATGAAATATGCACTTATTCATGAATTTGTATTGATATGATTGATTTAAATGTGTTACGCTTTTTCAATTTTTATTCCCCAATTTTTTTAAGGAAAAGCGAGAAAAGTACTGTTTTTTTTCTTCCTCTTTGTTGTTCAGCAGGCTTTTTTGTATCCTATTATTTCTAATTTGTTTATTTGGATTCTCTGCTATGCAATTCGATCTTTCATCATACTGTGATATGTTTAATTGAGAGAAAAATATGTTGTGTATTTCTTTCATTTGATGACTTGTTCGTAATACATATTCCAATTGTCGTAGATAAATCCAGTGTTTATTTTAAAAATAAATCTGGAACCTGGTTGATTTTATAAATTCATTTACAGAATCGTATATTCTAGGGTTACAAGGTCCCACTTCTTCAACTGGGTACGAGTACCTATTGAGTATTATTCCGTAACTTTTCCATGTCTACGTTTTGTGGGGTTTTATTTTATGTGATTGCCCGAATCGTAAGTGTGCACTACAGGTTTGCCGCACAGAGATGTTTGAGTATGTATCGTGACCAATTTTAAATTACTTTATTCACCTAAAAACCAAAAACTTCTTTTCCAAAGCGGGCCATGTTCTCTCTTACGGTAAACAAAACAATCATACACACTTTATTTCAACTACATTTCTCCCATTTTGGATTCATTCTTCTAACGTTGCAGATTCTTTATTAAAAATTAAATTCTTTGTTCAAGTTTTATTAAAGTGTATTCTGTCATTGACTATAGCCCTGGTCATTTGATAGTTCGAATAAAATAAACATAAGAATGGAGTAGGCAGATGTAGTTAATAGATACAGGATATGCATTAACATTCGATTACATCAAATACTAAATATATGGTTGTTCAGCTAAAAGTTATCATATCACCAACATTTCGACATCAGGGTCTGAACGGAGAAATAGATGTTTTTAAATAAGATGCGTGATCCCGTTTGTATAGGATATTTAGTGGGGACTTTCAAAGGTTCCAAATTATATTGGTTTGTTGTAGACATGTTAGCTTTGCCGAAGGTAGTTAACACGTTTGATCATCTATGTAGTGTTTTCTTCATTTTTGGCAGACAATTGACTCTATGTAGCAGTTGTGATCCTTGTGTCTGTCTGATGGTTGGGATGGTATTGTGCAATTTTTGAAAGAATCTGTGCGATCATCGTAAACATCTGTAGCCAGAATAGAACATAACCCGGCAAATAGGTAACTCCTAATCATACATTTCACGTTTGTGGTTCATATCATACAGTAATATAGAGTAAAATATCGACCAGATATATAATTAGAGATCACGTTAAAGGCATAACTGCGCATCAGTGAGAGCGAACTGTGGTAGGTCTTTAATTAATTAAGAATAACTTATAAGTCGAATGGAGGCTTACAAGTAGAGGAATGTAAAAGTAAAGTAATTCGAATGTTTGGGAATAATACAACAACAATAGACACTGTAACTTAAGGTAACATTAGCTTGCTTCGCTATGGCGGAAACGGTGATGGCTTCCCACGTGCCTATGTAACTTTTCTGTTCGGATAGATAACAAAAGGTGGATAGTATGAGACAAACAGTCCGGTTTAGTATGATTTATTTATTTGTGACCATGCCCACGGGTAAATTTTCTTATATTTGTCATTGCTAAGCCTATTGACCATATCGTACTTTAACATATGTACTTACTCAATTCTCATACCTTTTTATATGCTTGTAGGAATGTTAGTATGTATGTGTCTATACACCTATTTATTTTATTTTTGTCAATTTCTAACTATATGTACATACAGTTCACAGGTCGTGCTTTGATTTAGGAAGTATGTTAGTACCCACACTGTGTTCACTAAATTACTCTGATGGGTTGTCTGTTGGTACATGTACATGAAATATATCGTTTCCATAACAATCTGTGTATTACATTTCAGATCGCGTTGTCCGCCTTATTGAGTCTAAGACTGAATACTAAGTCATCCACATATATATTAAACTGGGATCGAATAAATATCGGAGTCAGGCATGGAGGTGAAAAATAGTAGAAATTAAAAACCGTCGTATGTGAAATCCTTTTTGCATGCGTGGATATTTATTTATGATAGAATTGAGTTATTTGCCTGTTTGAAATACTTTTCTCTCGACAAGCAACAAAATTCGCGTTTCCTAATTATTAAATCACATTATGTTTTATAGTACGTTAGTACAAGGTTTATTCAAATTATCGACTGTCTGATTTCTAGTGCTTGAGTCGTTTAAACGGTAGATGGCAAAATAACTTTCCTTATCCGTTAGGGATACATTACTTCTCATGTAAGTAAATATATTTTGTTCTTTGATGGTTTATTAGCTTGCTGAGGTCTTCTGTGTATAAGTTCGTTATATGACCATTGCGGGGAAGTCAATGGATGCTTTTAATAGCTTCAGAGACTGCCATGTGCTACGTGGAGCTCTACGACCAAACAATCCAGCTCAGAGAACAAAACTCCACCAAAATCATCCACCTGAGCTACAAATCTTTTCCACCATCTCAGAACGTTTGCATGTAATAAACAGGAAGATAACAAAGTCCACAGCTAGTAGGAAACCCATCTTCCTGAAGCTACAAATCAACGGTGATATGTCTGGTGATGTACTACAGGATAGACTAATCAGACCAGTGAAGAGAACGCTTGATGCAGCTAACCACTGTCCATCGTTCTTGAACCGACCTATGGTGATTCCACAACTAAGGCATAAGATACATGGTTCTGCCACATTTATCTGTATCTACGAATTCAGCTGCTCCTGTGGAGAAACCTATATTGGGAGCACAACCAGACAATTGAGCCGACAAGGTGGTGAACACCTCTTTCAGAATAAAACAAAAATGACTGTACTCAGTTTGTGTGAAAGGAATGGTAATCAACATTACCGAGGCTAAGAATTTTCGGCTTCTTCGTTTTATCGACTCGTCAGCCTAAAATACCGGCAAAACAATACTGGCTAAACCAGTTACTTGTTAAACTATATATCACTAATAGTTAGACATACGGTTGATTACCATGTAGGTCGCAAGCGACTAGCTTGGATAAATCAGTTGAATTTCATGGACTGGACCGAGCAACAGCTTTTGCACTTTGTATTTATCTGATCTTATCAATACGATTCTTAATAATATGACTTTATTCGATGCAGTAATCATAGTAGACATAGTATACGGATGTCATACAAGATTTGTACATGTAAAGTTTTGATAATAATGATTTATTCTCAGATGACAATATATTACGTGATGCATGTCAGTTTAATGGTAATATCAATATGTTAAAAGTGCAACAGGATTCACCGTAATAAGCTGCTCGTTTAGGCTGATATGATCAAAGATACAGTGGTTATTGAAACACGAATATAAATCTATTCACTTAAGACTCAAGTATTCATTCTAAAAGTTGTTTCTCATTATGGAAGCTGTATTGCGACGAACAACTGGTGGTTAGAACTTAATCCAAGAAAAGTCTACAGTTGTTTATATATGAATATGCGTTGAATGCCTAATCAGTAGATTAAACATTTCAACTTCATTGTATTACTTGAGACATCTTGATATTGTTGCCAGATAACGAATTTAACAGGCTCCTAGTAGAGATAGTTATAAATCCTTCTCAAATATATTAAGTATTAGAAAAGACGTAGCACGATTTTATCTGTTTCATTCATGTGTTTTAGGCGGTGCGTCTCAACGGTTCTGAAGAAAGAAAGTAAAAAGAAAAGAACAGGTAGCAGAAAAGACAGAATTGATGATTGGTGAGTTAAAGTCATTTATGTTTTAAAAATAAACGTATGACTACTAAGTCCAGTTTCCTTATATTTGATCAGTTGTTATACAAGCGGATAAGTTAAAGAAAGGCTAATGGTCGGATAGTTGTATCTTTCCCTTACAAGTCGAGTTGTGGGGCCAATGAAATTTCATCCGATAGTTGGGTCACTGAATGTTAAAAAGATCATCAATCCCTGTCAAACTCAAGATCAGCCAACATGTAACAGTTAATCGTATGCCATGGACTGGCCCATGCGGTGGTAGTCTCACTGTCTTTTCTGTACCCTCTCTTACTAATATATTTCCTTAATAACTTACTTTGTGTTTTATGGTCTTCAAAGGATCCATAATACCTTGATACGATGAAAGAGTTATCCAAGTTAGGTGCTGACTGCCGTCGGTTACACCAGTCCCGTCTAACTCGAGTAGGCCACCAAGCATTCGACAGAGATCAACAACGTTAGTGATTTATAGAGTGGACCCAGAAAATTCAAACAGATAACCTGTACTGCTATCTTCAACGTCTTTTTAATCTAGGATCTCAAAATCAGCTGAAACAGAAGTTAGGAATGAAGAGGTTCAAAGATATGTTTGACAGGTGGTCGGTGCGTCAAAAAGTATACAACAAAACGGTGGTTTCTGAAAATAACTAACCTGTGGGCAACTGCTCCATGCCAAATTTCAGGCACATCACTGTAATAATGAAGTTCCACCTTCTCATCGAATTCATAGATCCCCTTCTAAATTCCTTGAGACACCGTAACATAAACTATCTAACACACAACGTATTATTTAATAATAATCCGGGCCAAATCTCCAACGTAGTGTGGGACGGCCTATGATAATCTTCAATTAACAAGATAATAAAGCAGACGACCAGACAGCGTATATAGTGTTTATTTTTCAGCAATCGCGGTAATGTGTGTATATAAAACTGAACAATCATATCCGTTTCTTTACCATTGATACAGAGAAACAGTTGATATTGGATATAGATGTGATCACATATAAGGTGTGTCAAACAAATAAAAAATGTGACCTTTATTTTGTCGTCACAAAAATCATTGAATATACATGCCACAATTAGTTCCATAAGTGGTATTATAACTTGCTGCCATGTCCATAGAAGACTCTTCCTTATATACATCAGGCAAAAAACCTTTACTTCTTCCGAATCGGTTATCCATTTCTTAAATTTGAAAGCCCTTCTAGATATTAATTCATTTTATCGCATAACGAACTTCTTTACCTATTCGTCATCTACACAGGGAATTTTAGGTTGTCTTATTCATAACGAAGGCTGTGGAAAACGACGATATAGTGGCCCTGAATTGATAGCAGGTCATTTCAAACTTGACCGAGTCATTTGATGCACAACTTCCGAGCCGCCAGAGAAATTCCGAAGTCCATGATCAGACTCGAACACTTTTACGTGCATAGCCACTCAACATCACGAAGAAGATTCTCACACTAAAGTCGTCAAATAGAATTGGTCGAATAATCCATTTAGGTTCTGGATTATGTGTTGAAAAGTCTTAATCCAGAAAAACTATTTCGCTTCGATCGAAATGGGTATATAAGTACTTCGGAAAATGTGGATAGCTATTAAAATGCTGCAAAAACGAGGAGACAGCTTGGTGTTGCCAGGCGTAAGAAGAACCTATTGGTCATAAGCTGGACGAAAATATCGTCCTGGTCATAAGGAAGAAAATGCCTCACACAAAGACATTTGCACTGATGTCTTCAAATGCAAAATTAAAAGCGTCTATAGGATGAGAAATCTATGGATAAAGGGTCAATAAAGTATGTTACTGTAGATCACTGTCGTAGGTTATTTGTTTTAAATTAGGAGCCTACACGAAGCGGACGATAATAGTGTGACAAACCAGCTAACTCACAGTCACACCATGGAGGCAGTGCTAACGTTGAATGACCTCTCGCCATATTTAAGTGTTGTGGCTGCTTCGATGACCAAGCGACACAAACGACGTTATTACAAGAACGTTTTAGTAAAAGTAGGTACAAGAAACAGAGCGTGATCACCACCGCTAGGGTTAGTTCATGGCGTGCAGTAAACTGATGCGCGTTGATTGTTTCTGACCACGACGAGGATCGTTGAACTGTTATTTTAAGATAAGATGGTGTATGATTCTCGTGCTGACTGACATGATTTGTATAAAGCAGCGATCGGAAGTGGGATGCCTGCCGGCAGAAGATTCAATTGAAGAAAACAGGATGACGAACAAAGAGCAGTCTGGTAAAAACAGGATCTGAAGAATGGTGAAGTGTGTTAAGGACAACCGATGGAATATTTTTAAATAACGTATTTAATATATGCTTAACGTATCTTACGTAAGTACTGTGTAGTTTTGAATGAAACGACAAATTGCTTTACCGTATTTGAGTTCTCTTTCATCATGAATAAGGTGCGCCTTAAAGCTAACAGTCATCATTAATGTTAAACGTCTATTTTTAGGTAAGCTGTTAAAACACATTCAAGGCCAGTCAAAGTAAAATAACATTACGTTGGAGGTACAGTGCAGATTTCTGAATAATTTCTGTTGTTGTCTTCACTGTTTAGATAATTTTACGTAGTAATGTCTTTCGAAAGATACTGCTGATGCACTCGATTTTCACCCACCCAGTAGTATTTATCTTTATTAATTTATCGTCAGTTCAAGTGACAGATTAATATGAAATTCCGTTACCGAAATGTAAAAGATGAAGGTACGTCTCACCATCTGTTTGTTTATCTCAACTATTTGGGATTGAAGGTCAGTGTTACTTATGAATAATGGGGGTGCAAATCAAGCTTTGTGGAGATGCAAAGATTAATGGCTATACAGTTATCTTTGTTCATCAAGAAAACTCTATTTGTATCACAGCCATTAAAAACGGCTTGTGGCATGCAGTAGGTTTGTTAATTCTTTTTGGTCTTGACCAGTGATAGTTGATTCTGTGAAACTTGATGAGTTTTGTGACCTCGTCAAGCAAACGCGTAACCAATATACACAGAATCTCTCAGAGTCTTTTAGTTCTTCCGACCCATCTAGCTACTTTAATTTAAGGGAAGAAGGGGCGAATTTAAATTTCGTATGGTCCAAAGAAATTAGGAAAGGCATTAAAGTATCAACATACACTTTGAATTATATTCTAGATCATCTTCGGATCTTTTTACTTACAACCTTCATATAATCCATTAGAATCACTTTGCGAATTAACAAGTCTAATCACCAATAGTCTCAAAGAATCGATTTTATGCTGCAGTAATTTCGAGAGAGAAAACGAGAAGCTAAAGTCTTTGGCTGATATGTCCGTAAAGGTAAGAAGTATCATGTCTTAATGGTTTTCAGAAATATGAAGAAGTGGTTTCTCAGATAGATGACAAAGAAGTTGTTCTTCTCTCGAAGTTTTCAGCTGTTCTGAATGAAAAGAAAAGAAAGTTAGAAAGCTATAAGTAGTAGACTCAATTCCTGTTTTTACATACTCGTCTGTAGGTGTCCAACTTATGCTTTAAGTGAAGTTGACAAATCATCAGATAAATCGTCATTACAAGAAGATTTGGATGATTTAATACCTTTCAAGAACCGCAGAAAATCAAAACCTGTCATTGGTCGTCGTAACTGATTGCTAAAGTAAGATTACCATTTACAAGCGTTACGTTCACTGGTTCACGACTCTCAAGATCAAGCAGCACTATTACAGTGTTTTAGTAATTGTGAGTATAGTAGTATTGAGGTTCACTTTGAAGAACATCAATGTATCCTCTGCAATTTCCGCTTAGTCAATAGGTTGTATTTACTTATTAACTGACACGCGAAGTTCTAGATGTTTATTTTTACATCATAAGATGTCATTCAACACCAGGAAACTCGTTCCATGTGTTCGCTTTCCAGTTGTAACACACTTCTGGTGTTATGCACTAAAAAATGGTTCGATTTGGCAAGTTAATTAAAAAAAAGCTGATATAACATGTTATCTTTGCAAGGGTTTTCATTCAACTCCTTCACTTCGAGATATGTATGATAACTCTTGTCATGATAGCTCAGATATATCTTTGGGAGCCAAAGTTGTCTTTAATTGACTTCCGTTTATCTCATTTGTCTTTTTCGATAATGCAATGAAAAGACGAAGGTTATCAGAAGACTGTCGCTCATTCTGGAGCACATGCTTGGATTCAGATCATGCTCTAGTACGAGCGCCTATCTGTTTGCGTCTTACTGAACGTAGGAAAGACGCTGCAAGTAAACCTCTTAGGGCCATACCTAATGATAGTCAAGCTAAGAGTATATTTCAGGAACAACTAGGAAAACAGTTAGGCAGCCATGTATGTGATGCCCACCCCGATGCAGCATGGAATGATATCCGAAAAGCTGTGGAAACAGCAGTGATACCTGCTAGTACGGTAACCCCGTAAGCTTAGGGAGCAACACTGGATCTCAGCAGCATCTATCGCACTGACAGATGCTCGGAAACTCATTCCACCTGGCTCTGAACATAGTGAAGAGCGGAGCCAGCTTAAGCGCAAGCTGACAAGAAGTTTACGCAATGATCGCGAACAGTGGTGGGTAGCGAAAGCAAGAGAGATGGAAAAGGCAGCGGCAATAGGTAATAGCAGACAATTGTTCAGACTCGTTAAGGAAACCGGAATTAGGAACCCGAACGTTAGCGAAACAATCTCAGAGAAAGATGGACATATTATTCATTCTCAAGCCAGGAGATTGGATCGATCGTCAGAACACTTTAGGGATCAGTTCAACTGACCTTCAGCCACACTTCGGTTTCCCACGATCCCCAGTCAACCTGAATGGCAAGTTAATGTAGGTCCTCCGTCTCTTTACGAAGTTGAAAAAGCCATAGGAAATCTGAAACGAGGGAGAGCAGCAGGCCCTGACAGGTTTACTCCTGAGATTTTTAAGGATGGTGGTCCAGTATTAGCAATGAGATTAACCGAGGTCTTAGGTAGAATTTGGGAACTGGACGTAATCCCATCTGACTGGTCTCAATCACTGATTGTGCCAGTTTATAAGAAAGGACAAAAGTCCTCTTGTGACAATCACAGAGGAATCAGTTTGACTAATATAGTGTCTAAAATATTAGCTTCAATAATACTTCGACGCCTAATCAAAGCTCGTGAAGAGCAGACTCGAGAAAATCAGGCTGGTTTTCGACCTGGACGTGGTTGTATAGACCAAATATTCACACTACGTCAGGTTCTAGAACACAGACACGCGTTTAGACGCCCCATTATGGTAGTATTTCTCGACCTTAAGGCGGCATTCGACTCTGTTGATCGTGAGGTTCTCTGGCAGTGTTTGTCACTGAAAGGAGTACCAAAGAAGTACATTAACCTTATTCAGGCTCTCTACTCGAACACAACTGGTCGAGTGAGAGCTTATGGCGAACTGTCATCAGAATTGATTACCTCAAGTGGTGTTCGTCAGGGCTGTCCACTCTCCCCATTCTTGTTCAACTTTGTGGTCGACGTACTTTTAGAGATAACACTCTCCTCATTTAAATTTCCTGGGGTTGAACTTCTACCGGGAGGTTCACTTGTTGACTTAGAATATGCTGATGACATAGTTTTATTTGGTGAAGACGCTGACAAAATGAAGAGTCTTTTGACCACTCTAAGCAACAATGCAAGCATGTTCGGGATGCGATTCTCTCCCTCGAAATGCAAAATGTTGTTTCAGGATTGGGTTACATCGACACCCGAACTAGTGATAGGGAGTGAAGTAGTTGAGTGTGTCGACCGCTTCACTTATCTTGGAAGTCTCATCAGCCCTTGTCGTCTGGTATGTGACGAAATCTCAGCACGGATACAGAAGGCTCAACTAGCTTTTGCCAACTTGCGTCATTTATGGCGTAGGCGAGATATCCATCTACCAACCAAAGGACGTGTTTATTGCGCAGCAATTCGTCCCGTCCTACTTAATGGCAGTGAAACATGGCCGGTAAGAGTAGAGGATATTCGTAGGTTACTAGTATTCGATCATAGGTGTCTTCGAAATATTGCTCGTATATCATGGGACCATTGAATAAGCAACACAGTTGTTAGGAAACGGGTACTAGGTAAGGATGGCAAATCAATTGATGAAGTAGTGAGACTTCATCAGTTGAGATGGCTGGTACACGTGTTACGTATGCCCAACGACCGACTGCCTCGACGTGCGATGTTCAGTGGTATGGGAGTAGATTGGAAGAAAGCTAGGGGCGGCCAGACCAAAACATGGCACAAGTCCATGAAGTCACTGACAAGTGGACTGAGTCATGTTGGTAGGTGTAGACTACCTGGTTGGGGACCGCGAGATGATAGCAACCGATGGTTAGAGACCCTGAATGACATGACTCAAAATCGTTTGCAGTGGCGCAGGTGCATCCACTCCTTGTGTTCTCCCAAATTTTGATCTCCTTATTCCCCCCTTGTCTCTTTTTTTCTCTTCCCAAGTTTATTTCACTGTATTATACTCTTTAAGTAACATCTCCAAACACTAATCTTCCCGATTACTGCTTATACTCTTATTACCTCTACCACTACGGGATTTGAATCGACCACTGCATCTCTGTGCTAATGTGGTGTGGCAACTCGAACTGATGTACGTACGTACGAAGTTCTACGTTGTTACTGACTGACTCCCTGAGTGTTTCTCTAACAGTCGGGTTCCTAATACCGGTTTCCTTAACGAGTCTGAACAATTGTCTGCTATTACCTATTGCCGTGATCACATATATATACTTGTTAAGATATTTTTATATGAAAACTAAAAGGTCAACTAGACCGATGAAAGGTTAGCCGTAACAAAGAAAAATAAATTACGCAAAAAAATGTGATAACCACTCTGAATAATAAATTAGTATTATCAGGGTAGTCTAAGAGAAACAACAAATTGTTTGTGAATACCTAAAGGAAATTTCAGTTTCCATATAGCCAGGGCTTCAATAAATCTTAGGATACCCCCTTGAAGGCTTTTGTACAATACTACAAATGCTTCTAGTACTATCTATTATGATTAAGGCGGATGTATTGATAATAGAAAAGTAGTGTCAGTGTACTCCGCTATTGTATGATGTATCTTAGCATATTTTGTGTCTCCAGTATGTAAGACAGTGTTTTTTTTATATTTTTGTTTCCAAGCAGAATTATGGCAGGAAGTATGTACGTATGGTTGGCCATGTGATATGTAGATATTCGTAATTTTCTGTGTTTATTACGTCGAGCTGCTGTATATCTTGCTGCCTATCAGTTTTTATCTGTATAAATTAAACACTTCTGCAGTTTGTTTCATGTTTGCCAGCAAATGATTTTTATTTCTCATTTATAACCTGTTGTTTTGTCCATTCCGCTAATAAATTAAAACTAACTTTTATAGTTTTTTGCCCGACAATACAACTAGGATGATTTTTTTAATAGCTTGTATGCGGGCAAAAACCACTGAATTTTCGAAATATCATTTGTATGGACAAAAACAGTTTCAAGATATTTTGGTTGTTTATGATGAAAAGAAAGTACACAGTTGGTGTGCAAATTGGTTAACAGTGTATGTTATTAACATTCTACCCCTAGAAAATGAAACGAATGGGGTCGAGGTTAAGTATTAAACAGGTATTGATGTAATCAGTGTTTAAAATGTCACTTGTCAAATATTATAGCTAGTAATATCGTGCATGAATACAGCCAGAGTCATATAAAGAGTATTTTATCTGACTAACTTTTTTCATCTTAGTTTACCGATCATAACTGTTCAAACAAAACGTCTTACCACAGTGTTTATAGAGTGGCTCAGTTGTTCATACACGGGAAATACACATGGCCTACTAATAGGTTACATAGCTAGCAACTTTGTCTTTTAAAAATGGTTAAACAACGTTTATTTGTAGATCGGTTTTATCCTGTTCGGTTTGTGGTTATCGTCTGACAGATTAAATTAGGGCTTTTGGTTTATAAACAGTCTATCAAGCAACGATTTAATGTGGATTCGGGCGTTTTGTCATACGTAATTGATAACAGTCATGTAATAGATAGACAAACCACTTATAGGGACTTATCGTTTTCTTACTAGTGTTCCTTACAGGATTCGATCTCGACGAGTCATATAGGTAGATCTATATGAATTTAGGCTAACAATCCAAGTCTTTGTGTGCATAAGCAATTCGCAACCCCCCATATTTCTTTCTTGGCTGAATGAACCGTAACAAACGGTTTTTTCATACTACTTTCCATACTCTTCGTTTATTTTCACTCTTTTCATACATATAATTGTTTGAGTACTTATCACGTAATTCTAATTAGTTTCATTTGAGTGTCTGTATCTCCAAGTTGTTGACCTACTTCCTGTTATAAAATATTGACTTAAGCCTTATTATTCTTATCACAACTAGACCTTTTGTCATAGAATTAACAACTTGTAACTTTTACTTGCTGTATATTTATATAGTTTATTCCACTGTTATCGTTGACTCATAAAATGTCTTGATTAGTCTAATATTTCCATATATGTATTTAGACATTAACTGATATTAAAGTAAGCCTGATGGGGATCTGATTGAAAACAATGTTGTTCCATCATATATGTTGTCCCAAAAAGATCATTCACAAAAAATTACAAGTCTGTATTAGATTGATCATTGCGTAAAGCATTTTTTCGATCAAAATAAGCAAACAGACGGTTCATGTGACAACTCATTTTTAGTTAATTAAGTTTGCTTTGTATAATTCTATCAAATGTGTTCGTTCTAAATACACTAAGAGGCTTAGAATCTTCTGCTTTTATCATAAATCTTTATACGGTTCTGTTTATCGTTATTTTAAGTACTCAACACTCGATTACTATCGCATTGTCAGTTGGGGAAGTCTTCAAACTTGTCATTTTAATGAGCAATCGTCAAGTGCTTTACCATTGTAAATAGTGTGTGTTTGATGCTTTACGTACTACATCAGTAATAATAATATATGGTAGTTATATCTTCTAAAAGGTTTCTTTTGCTTCTGATTGGTATTTCGTAATGCTTTACAATATATAACTGGAATTAAATGATAGTTGTAGCCATATAACCAACCATCATTTAGTTCTGTTTCTGCGTTGATGAGGTGTTTGTCGCTTAGATTAAAACACAAGATATGATGTACGTCTGTTTAGTAATCTACATCATCTTACTTTTATCACATTAAGAATACCAACTAACAATAGTATTACAGTTATTTCATTGTATTTACAGTAGCAGTTGTCCTTAATACAAGATATAATACGAGTCTGCAATGGTTTTGACTTTATTATCTGTGTATTTTTATGGAAGCGAGGGTGGTATAATTATTAGATATGAAAAAACATCAAACACCCAGTGAAATTCAGGTTTGTTTAGCGCTCGTCGTTGACCCCATTGCCTTTGTGAGAAATTATGAAATATAGTTCCTCAATTAACACTGGGTTAGTGAATAAAGTGCCTTTGGGTGCATATATTTCATAAATCCATTAATGCAGACACGATAAAAGATTCGAATCAACATGGGCCCACTTGCTATGAGTAAACGTGACTGAACTCATGTAAGCATGGAGGAGGTGCAAGTAATTATACAGACTCATACATACTCTCATCCACACATAGTGTGGTCAAGGTTACATGAGTGATTGGAAAGATCTAATATTTGAATAAAAGTGATAAGAAGATGGCCGAGGAGCGGCTACACTTAAAGTGATTTGTGTTGTTTTCTCTATCGTCTAGCTGTTACTAGCAGATAAAATGAAACTGGCTTCTGGAAGCTTGTACAAGCCGCACTCGTGCACGTACTTGATTTTTGATCGAATTGATTGTAACTAGTTGCTTAATTCTCACTTTGGAAAATTATGTCATCTAAGAAAACTGTCTAGTCCTGCTTAGCTGTTTAAGTGAAAAATCGGTTCAAAAATAAAGTGGTGATTAAAATTCGTAGTTGGTTTTCATGTAGGACGTTATATATGAATCTCAAAATGCCTTTGTTTAGTTTGTGTCTGTTCTTGCTTGCGTGTCTCATGACTGCAAGCGTCGAATTACGTTTTAATTAAATTGAGCAGACTGAGAAGCCTTTTCTTCACGTTACGAGCAATGTAATCTATCTAAATAAATGAATGTTTGGAATGAATTGCCCGAGATCAATTCGTATTTGGTCTTTTTGCCATCATTCCCAAAACAGCGTAAGATTAAGTATAATATGAGGAATAAAACGGAAAACTTATATGATAGTTTATTTGGCATCTAAATGCCTTGGTACGAATGAGAGTGGAGAGTCGTTTCTCCCTCTCGAAATGTTCTCACATGGCCACGTGCATACAATTGTAGCAGGTGTCGAGTCGTAGTTGACTATAGTCACCACCACAGGGAGACTACGTGTCAGTTACCGGTAGAACCCCTCCGTAGGTCGAAAATCAGAAGGCAGTTAAAGGTTATAGTTAAGCTGTATTTGTTGTAGTAGTATCAAAATAGTACCGAGATCGTGCTAAAATCTACAAGCGAGTCTACTGAGGGTACGAAAGTTCGTGAGGCCACAAATGACGAGAGTTTTTTGGTACACTTAAACAAACATTGAAACAACCACTGGTACAGTTGGCTATAATAATAATTGCTTCCATTATACCAATCACAGTCTCTTTATAAAAGGAAGTCACTACACAATCCTTTCCAGGGAAGTCCTATTCACTGTCTTTTCGCGACGGGAGTGTAGTTTACGAAATCGAAGGGACGAAAAGCGAATATTCGGCGATTTATCCGGGTTGGCGGATCCACTTGTGGGAGTTAGAAGACCCTGATTCCAAATCAATGGTCCCATGTACAAAGCTACGAGATTTCTGTGGTAATCAATATATGTGACAGTTCTCCTTTCTAGATTACTCCAAGTGGTCAGACCTATTTTTGTGTCTCTGGTCGAAACACTTAGTGGCTGAAGCGGGATTAAAACCGATAAGCTGACTTTCAGTTCTTCACTTAATATGTTGATTTTCTAAGTTAATGGAGTACAGATTTAAAATTGTCAGTGTTCGTTTAATCGGCTACGTATATTGGGTATCGTCTTTTATTCCTTCATAACCTTAAATACCCAACCAAGACATATATAAGTGCATAAAGTATTGTGGAACTATATCAACTAAGATTTGTCATATGAATGAAAGGAATATAGGTGGTATCCGTCGTCCCAATGTGTATGCTCTTTGAGTCCGTCTGAAAGCCTCCATCTAATTGAGTTAAACTGTTGTGGGATAACTTCTTGAATAATCTAACCTTGGTTGAATTCACGCCACCTAACGATTTCCTGGTCTCACTCACCCTAATCTGGTGATTTGATTATCCTGCTATCATAGCATGCATAGAGAAAATCTTATATGAAGAGTGTTTTATGTGCTAGGGAGAAGAGATTGAAGGATGACTGCAAAAGGTCTGTGCTTAACTGCATCTTAGGGCAAGACATGTCTCTGAATGCTCTGTTCACTCCATCTACTGTTATTTCATCGAACTTACAAGCTGCTATAAATGCTGGTGAGAATGGGTTGTAGCCTAAACCGATCCATCCAGTGGGTACGTGTTGCTGTGGTGCGATCGAAAATTTTATTTGGTAGGAACACGAAGTTCGATGGTGCCATTTACATTTCTAATATGGTGTATAAATGAAACGAGATTCTTAACAGCACGACAAATTATTTAATATATGAGATGCTGAGAACCGTGGAGCAAAAAGCTAGAAGCTGTGGAAGGCTTGGCGTTCACCCCGTTTATCTACTATGGACATCTTACCTTTATTTTTAATTAATATTGAGACAAGAACTCTCTTCGAGAGTCTTGACAACTAGCAGTCACCGGTAATCAAACAAACAAAAACAGGCTATGGAAATTTACCGTGAGACAACTACGGTATTTGTGATGTTTCGTCATGACCGAAACATCCCACTGTCTCTAATACATTGCACAAAATTTCACTTAGAGGTGTTCAAGCAAACGCAGATCTCATAAGAAAAAACTTCCGCTTTCTCGATATGAATTAAGGAGTGGGGACGCTGCTGTGTATGCCACCAGAAATCTATGGTAATTAGACATAACAAATGACTCACTGAACTTTCTCATTATTCATGACGCTCGTTTTGAACACGTTTCTTTCGATTTGATAAGGTCTTTTCCGTAGTTAGTTGGATGCCCTCCATTCTATTGTGTACAGAATATCCTACACTATGGAGACATTACTACAAGCCGAGAGCGCCAGTTCGTGCCCGAATTTTTTCACTGTATTGCTACACTCCCAAAAATCACACCACACTGGACATCAGCCTGCATCGGAAACACCATTGGTTCGAAAAATAAATTCGACAAGCAGTAGAAGGTGTTGTTTTTACTGGTAAGGGAACTACGAGAAACATTGCATCCTAAATTTGTGCACCTTATTTCTTGTCATTTGAATGCGCTAAATCAAGAACCCGCACCATATTACGTTTGGTTAGGCCATGTTAGGGAACTTTGACGACAACTTGCCATCTCGTATTGCATAGAAGGTTTAACCTCAACTTAAGGTCCAAGTGTATCTTCAAATCTTACCGACCATGACTTCTTCACTGATTAGTTTCGGGACAAACACTTGAGATAGGACTATGGAAAATTGTAATGGAACAACCCAATTCACAATCGATGGCTTCTAAAACGAGAGGATTTCTGTAAATATCAACCGAAAAGCCATATGTAACTTTGAATTAGTAACCCCCTAAATTTATGATTACTCATGACCATTCTGTGGTAACTGAAGAAACATAGATAAATGCACATCTCTGCTTGTGCAGCCACCATGTTTTAATCTTTACAAGAAATACATAACAAATGCATGTCAACTTTGCCAAGGATATATAGTGGTAATGGCTCTAAAACTGTCCCGAAGTTGTAGGAAAGCTATCTAAATTTCGTACTAAAAGAGAGACTAAAAAAGTTTATCATCCTAGTGGATTTCACAACAAAACCTGACTTTGAAATGTATATGTTTTGTCTGCTCTCTTACATCGTATTGTCAGAAATCGAGATTTTAAGTTCGTTATGCTTTTTTTACTTATTTATTAATTGCTGTAATTCCCCTTCAAAGCATATTATTAGAACTTACTGAAACTTCACGGCGAAAATGGGATAACTCAACATTGTAATCGACTAAGAACTATGTTAACCAACAAACACGAGTGCTTAAAATTCGTGATATAGTGTATCGCTCTCAGTAGATACAAAGGAATTATCTAGTCAAAATACCTTCACTACGTCGTAAGACGGCAGATAGGGAATTTATACTGTAGTTATGCAGTCATTTTATTGCAACCTAGTGAACGAAGTAATTTATACACTACAGTGATTGAAATCAATGATGTCTACTTACTCTGTAATTACTTTTTCTAACTTGAAAATGTCCTTGAGAGCATTTTACCATGACAAAAATTCACTGAATATTTGAAAATGAACGAACAGCTTACGTTTTATCCAGAAGATGTGCTCACTTCTAAACGATTTGTTCAAAAATTATACGACAATAATACTTTATATAATGATAAAAGTGTACGTGATTTTATCGTTATGAATTATGCTTTAGGCGGTATTGCAAGCGTTGAACAAAAAGCCTGTGTGTATCATTATACTCGGGAAACCGTGTTCAGGAAAGACTGAATTGGCCAAAAGGCTATGCTCGAAATGGAAGTTGCAGCTTGTTAACGGTAAATAACATTTAGAAACGTTTATCCTTCAGCAATGGAACTTATAACGGAGAATATTGATAGAGCAACATATAGTGGAAAAGTTATTAGTGAAGTAATGGGTAGTGGTCAGCCTTTGGATGAAAAACTAGTTTATAATTTAATTACGCAGAAACTTGAGTCACCTGAGTGTGCTCATTATGGATATGTACTGGATGATTTACCAGCTTTCTCTGAGTCAATAATTACTATCGAAGATCAAATCGCCTGTATTACATCTCTGAATCTGAAGCCGGACTTCATTGTTCACATCAAGGTTAGTATGAAATTGCTATTTTCTAGCTCATCATAATTTAGTTGTGTTCAAATTTATGGTTTCACACTTTTGAATCGTTGTAATATACAAATTCTAAATCCTAGCTTACTTTGTTTCAAATTTCTTTGATTTCGTTATAGCGCGACTGAATTCCGAAATAAAGCACTCTGAATTTGTTATTTGATATAGCCTATAAACACGATTACTATTCAAGGAAGAAATATGTATATCATTCGGTTAGTTGCTGATCAAACTTGGAAATTGTTCGTTGGACACTTCATGTATGTTCTCAAACATATTTCCAGGAAGACAGTTAGGATATAAAACTTGTAAAACCAGTTCTCTAGTTTGCGCTGACTTTGTGTGCCTTGATACGACGGTCATTTATTATTCTCCGTTTCGCTCAATAGACACAGGTAAAATCGGGATCCTTATTGAAATATCATACAGCCGATCCAAACAGCAATAAGAGTTTGAAGGTAAAGCGTACAAAATCAAGCGTTTGTTTATCGATCTCTTTCAACCGTACTATTCATCGAAAAATCTCCAGGCAAAATACGAGCGGGACAGCAATACAAAACGTTTTCAGGATACGTTTTAGAGACGTTTAATCATTGATATTCGGATACAGATAAAAATTTCCAGAAGTTCTCCAGGTAAATTTGACTTTGAATCAAAGACGTCGGTTAAAATGCATAGAAGAAGCGCTTGGTAGGACTTGAGAAATGTTTGAAGTGGGTGGTTTTGTGCCTTCAATTAAAATTGATCCTGAATGAGAATCTTCTCTCTACAGCGTAAACCAGTTTGTTGAAGCTGAGTATAGAAGGTGTTATTATCTAAGGTGCACGAGTGTGTCAGTTTTGACGAGAAAAATCTTGTTGGATCAAATAACGGAGTTTTATAGAAGTATGGAAAGTTTCGGGTTGGAATTCTAGCGTTGGTATTCACACTAACAGACAAATTTATTAACTGTCTCTCCAAACACTTAGGCTCGATTTGTTGAGCTACTCGGTTCAGAAGGCTCAAAACTTGCCCGGCTGGTACGTTATTTCTTGTATAGATTTATAGTTTTCTGTCGATTCAGCGTTTTTTTTAATATTAAAAACAGAAAAATATAAAGTGCTACAAATAATTTCAGAACTAGGAAGCCAGAAAATTTCTGTTAAAGCAAAGTAATGAGTCACAGATATATTTATTGCTGAATAAAAGACAACAGAATTCAGATAATAGTGCAAATATTATAAAAATTAATAGTAATTATTGTTAACCAAACGCTTTTACCTTGTATTTTGAACTAGTCATCATTCTTAACTTATTACTTCTGTTTAGTTTATTCGGTAGTTTTATTTTTTTGTTAAACCTAGTTGAATTTTGGGTTTGTTGTATCTTAAGTTGTTTGGCCTTGTATCAAGATGAGTGTTGCACTTTCATAGGAATGTGATGACTAACTATGTAGGTGTAATTAGGAAAATGATCAGTTAACGGATTTTCGAATTACATGAAATCTTTGTTTAGATATGTTTGCTACTAAACACAAAAAATTTACTATTTCATAAAATTAAAATTGAAGAATCTAAAAAAGACTTTGATGCAGTGTATTCTTGAACCAGCAACAAGCACTTTGAATGATGCGCAATGATAAAGTTTCGGATCCCCAATAAGAGTAATTAAGCTATTCATGAGATGTGTTATTGGGACAAGTGGCTGTAAAGATATTCAAGGCATTTGAAATTTCAAAAGTCTTCTAAAATGGCATATCATCGTAGAGTACTTCCCACGTTTGAGTTTAATGCTCATGTAATTTCACAAACTAGCAACAAAATTTTAAAACATTAAGGTCAGAGTTGCAAAAACGAAATTACGGAATAAAGCGTAAACGTTATCAACTAAATCACAAAAAGTTCTTAGTTTTCCAAACCGAAAACAAGTTTTGCAACATGCGTTTATTTGCAGAAGTAAATTTTTTGTCATTGAAGACTCAAAATAAAAATGTGTTGTACATTCAGATGTCATCAGTCAAATACAACCTTTTTTTAAAAATAAAATATTCGAGTTGGGTTGAAATATAAAATGATTTGAAAAAATGAAAATGTGGCATTATTTATGATTAACATTTTTTGTATCGATTCGGTAGGGAATTTATTCGATGTGAGGGGTGTGAACTTTTGGTTTGTGTAGAAGTCAGGTTTTCCGTATAATTACGAGTAATCTATATGCAGCATATGTGTTTTTGCAGTAAATTAACGTATTTTTACATGTGACATTATTAAACGTATGCCAAATAATTAAAGAAATGAATGTATTTTGGTCTATTGACGTATTTTGGGAACATAATTTTGTAAAAACGACTGATCTTTATTGTACCAGTTTTATTTTTCTTTCTTTACGTCGTAAAATTATGGTTAGTTTTGTTTCAAATTTAAGCGTTCGAACCGCCGATACAACAGTGGCAACGAGGCTATGACGTAAATAATTTATAAAGGACACTGAACTCCAACCAAGCTTATCACGTTTGTCTATAGATACTACATTATATTCCCCACATTCCTAAAATCTTACTCAGTTGATTCTTCTGTCACTAAAATACTCAAATGTTTTAGGTCAGTCATATTTTTACATATTGTCATGTCGTTAGTTTTAAACTCTGTTATTATCAATCTGTAGTATCTGTTTAAACATTCAGAGATTGGAATGGAATGCAAGCAGTACATGAACTAGAAGTAAGAAGTGAACTACTTCTTCTTCACCATGAAATTTATTTCATCAGTCGTCTTGGTATTTCATGATAACAGTTAAGTCTGAGGGTTTGTGTTCAAGATGATTCATTCATTTATGTGTCATTCTGCTATAATACAGTTATGTCAGAAAAATGGTCTTATGTATTCTGAAGAGGTGGTATATAGTCAAAAAAGAATTTCGAGGTCTACAATAACACTGGTTGCATGAAATAATTGGGGCTTGTTAAGGCATGGTGAAGGCAAAATATTTATCACTTACTAGAAATAATGACAGTATGTCTAAATTTGTTTACGTAAACATAAATATCGAAGCAATGAGTAGTTCACGAGTGTAATGAATAGCGAAACTGCTGAGAATTTATGTGGTAAGTCTGTTTAACAACGGGATAAAAAGTTTGCAGTAGACCGAAAAGCTTCGTTACATAATGTTTCTGTTTGTTGATACTAAGGTGACATATTGTAACTCTTCTTTTTGGATCATGGATACTGGTATATATTACTAAAAACATTTTTTCTGTCAACACGTAATAAGGCTCAGTAAAAAATGTTCACATGTTGGATACAGGTGGTTATAGAACCTTAGAACTAATCTGGATGCTGAAGTGAATTAAATGTCATCGCATAAATCTCCAAGTTATATGATTTAAAATTCAGCGCGAACAAAATAAGCTATTTAAAAATAAGTAAGTAGTATAATATTTGCCCACTGAAATGGTATTTCAAGCAATCAATTGTAGTTCTGTGAATGGGTTGTTAATAGCTCTTCTAAAACCAAATTAACATTTAAGAATAATCTGACTTATAAACATGTTGTTCGTAAATATCTGAGTGACCAATCGGATGGAAAGCTAAATCTTCCCTTTTACTGTATGAGTTTAACAGTCCATATTTTTTGTATACATTCAAACAGTATCGATGCCGATATAAAGAAGTTAACTTCAAAAACTAGAGTTCGGGAAATATTAAACTATTGTAGGTTTTGAGTTTAGAATTATGTGATACTGTATAGCTGATAGTAATGGATATAAATACTCATCTTTTTAGTTAAATGACAAACATGTTTTTTGTTGTTTAGTTAAGATCTACAATACTTTATCCAGTCTTTAATTTTCAATGAGATCGTACTGAAACGGTAATAATGAACGGTGATAATATATATATATATATATATATATATATATATATATATATATATGTTTTGTTAGAATTCAATAAGTAGGAAAATTGTATTTCTGACGTCTAGTGACTTAATGTAAGCTACTTCCTCAGAGTATTATTTGCTCTGAAGAAGTGGTCTACATTAAGTTGCGAAACGTCAGGAATACAATTTTTCTACTCATTGGAACGTGAGAAAAGATTTATTTATTATTAACTTTCTACTCAATGCTCAACTTATTTGAAACTATCAAGTCTAACCTTGAAATTGATACCTACAAACTGGGAATCAGGTGTTTGGATAAATGTCTCAATATGAACTATGGAATTGAAAGTAAAAATTCTAATGTCTTCAATAAGTTATATTGTGGATGGTTGGGTACAGTGTATTAGTTTCAACAGATAACAGAGAAATGGCTAAACTAACTTCGCCAGTGTTACGTGTCATTTGTGAAGAGTATTAATTTTTATAAATGGTAAATATTAGCAAATAGGTTTGATTCATCCATAAATAAATGAACGTACGTCGGCTACGGTTTAAGATATCTGTATCATTGGCTTAAAAAGCTTATAAACGACCTATAATAAGAAAACTTTTATTATTCTGATTTCGTTTTGATAAGATCTTTCTCTATTTCCTTTTGATTTTCAGTTAAATTTCATAACATTTATTAATCAAAACAAAATAATGTTTTTACATCATTTAAATTCCGTGTTAAATTACATAAACTTTTTGTAGGTGTTCTCCTTTTGTTATCTTACTTAACTAGTCCTAAATTTCAAAGTTATATGGTCTGAATGATCCGGATATTTCACAACCTTTTGTGTAACTGGTATTTATGTTTAAATATTACATTTTAAGTTTTGTAGACAAAGATATAATAAATGAGTTTCTGTTATATATAGAGCTTAGATTCTTAATATACGCTAGAACCCTTCTAAGTCACAAATGAGAAAACAGAAGATAAGTGAAAGGAATGCTATTCCAAACAATATCAAATGTGGTACAAAAGTCTCAGATATTTATAGTTTTTAGTAAACATGAAATTATTATTATATTCATCCAATCCACGTACTGGGATTTTTAGCATTTGTCCAACAGAGAAACTACACGTAGATATTCTGCAATGTTCTCCCAAAAGATAATTGAATGCAATATCTTCGGCTCTTTCTGAGCTTCTTAGAGCTTCCTTGAGTTCATCTGTGGGCTGTCCTCACAGTTCCAAAAGTTATCTTTATTTTTGCTACGTGTTTCTGATTTCTAATTGATGAGATTTAAAATATTGCTTAGGATTTTTAATTTTATTGACCGACTTACAAAAAGTGGAAATATACTCAACGTCGTCAAGTCAACTAAGTGAATCGTAGGCCGGAACGATAATCATGTTTATGTCCCGGTAGTCAATGAATTTGTCATTTTATGATGTAATTTTTATTAAAAAGTAGATTGTGCCATGAATTTTTCTATGACTGTAATTCTTATTAACCATGCCAGACTGCGTTACACTAGACACATGCACTACATTCTGGGATGACATCCTTTTCAGAATGGGTTTTGTGGAGAGTTTTAGAAATTTCACAGGTTGAAATCATGAGTCGATTGAAGCTAGATGCCGGCTCACTGGTCTAATGGTTAAGTGCTCACGCGCGAAGCCAGTAGGTACTGGGTTCAGGCCTCGCGTGGTGCGGAATCGTGGATGAGCACTGCTGAGGAGTCCCATACTAGGACAAAACCGCCGTCCAGTGCTTCCAGGTTTTCCATGGTGGTCTAGCTTCGATCGACTCATGATTTCAACCGATGACATCCTTTGTTGTTTTTAAGTAGTCCGTCAGTAAATAATAGAGAAAGGTTTATTCAAAACGAAACAGATTGACATTTTATCACATAAAGAACGTTAGCATACCGGAAAGAATACATTGACCTGATTAGTGGTAGCGAAAAACGAGAAAACAAAACTGATTTAAAACCGTTAGATCAAACATTTAGAGGACCATATGAATTACGGAATTTCAGCACACTAAAGGATTAAAGTTTTCAGCTACGCAGAAAAGCCAGCGGAAAAACACAGAACTAGGCAAGTCAATGGGCAGTGCTTACGTAGATAGTGGAATGATGATTCCTGCTTCTTTCTGATTGCTCGCTAAGTAGACTGCCAAATTATAAACCGGAGTTGAATTTATTTCCAGTCTCTTACAAATAGTTTTAATAGAATAATTAAAATATATAGTAAATTAGTTTCCGTATAACTTGATATAAATGTTTATTACTCATATTTTTGTCCAAATAGATTCCTCAAGAGGATATCATACGAAGACGTGAAGGACTGAGAATTGATGTGGAAGATGGAACTATATATTCCAGTAAAAATTATGCTGACGAATTAAAATCATTTTGTGAACCTGAGGAAAAATTTTCAAACAAAACAACGAAAATCAAACAAAATAAAACTGAAGAGGATACAGATGATAGTTTGGATAATGTACTTGAAAATGTTGAAGCTATGGAAGAAGTTAATGAAGAAGAAGATCAAATTAGTGGACAAAGTCACCCAGATTTCAAAAAGTTAAATAAGAATAAATTAGAATATTTAATTTCACGACTGGAAGATAATCCAGAGAAAATGAAATCAGATTTAGAATATCATGACAAAAATATCGCATCACACATAACTTCTTATATAAAAATGTTTAATCCATTCAGTGTCATTGAATTAGATGGAAATCTAACCCCAACTGAACTGTTTTATGTAAGTAAATAGACAGTTCGATTTTCTTATCTTTCTTATCTAATCCAACAAATAAATTCTTTTCAGTTTGTCTTATTACAAATACATACTTAGTGTTTAGGATACTGGGCGGTTGTTTTTTATTTGAAATGAAAATGACAACCACATGTATTCCGACGACATAGTTGTCTTGATAGAAATACTAGGATGAATACGGTGATTGGAATGTTTATTTTTCCCCAGAATAAACCTGAGAACTTTAACTGAATATCTGTCAGAACTGATGGAAAACAAACTGAAAATATTTTTATTATTAGTTTGTCCGGTTGGAAGGTCACTTCTATAGGATATCGACCCAGTTGCAGGTAAGTACTTAGATTTTCGTAGTATGGAGTTACTATTTATGGATCAAACTATGTGGATAGAGGGGTAGAATCAGTGCATTAAATTGAGATATCTAAATTTCCCTTACCTACTGGAGATTTGGATCATTTCCTAATTTATATTATTCTCATCACCTTTCACGGTATGATAGATGGTACAAGTATATGTAAGAATAAATATCAGGTTGTGGAGGTACTTATGTTTTATTGGGATCATCAACCAATCTAAGTTAGGTAACCATTGATAACCTGGAATTACTAAGCAGTCATTTCATCTTAATATGAAACCCCTCCGTAGTGCGCATCCACAATCAAACCTCGAGAATCGATCTCAGAACTTTTATTCTTTCTTATGAACGCTCAACATCTAGACCACTCAGCAAGCATCCAGTGGTTTACGTGTTTAAATCCAGTCAATTCATAGTGTTGAATATGACAGGCAGGAAGTATGTGTATATGTTGCGGGAATTTACAAGGCATTTACTTAAAGCATATACTCAGTCTTCAATTGTCCATTTACATCTTTTGGTGTGTTCTGCCAAAGGTGCATTTTCGATGCACAGAAACTCTTTACATGGTTTAACAACTGTTGCAAATTCTATGCTAAGTTCCGCTACATACTACTTACAAACTATACGAGGATTAACGGTATGTATATTTCAATAATATTCAATAACGATTATTTGTCCGATATAACTGGAGTCATATTTTGGGCCACTAAAATGGTGAGGCCGACGTGATGAATAGGATAAGAAGTGTACGCACACATATGCTCATATAAAAACAGTCAGGATTGATAAGTGAACAATTAATAAGGTCAAAACGGGACTCATGAAGAATGGATTAGTCCGTCTGTTCAGAAGCTAGAATAAGGTATATGAGCTTAACAATAGCAACCGACACTATAATTCATCTGTTTTTTTTACAATTAACAATAATGAAGTAATTAGTTGTTTACGACTTTGTATAAGAAATATCATGATCTATGGATTAAGCATATATCACTCATGTTTATAAATTTTGAAGATATCAAAAGCACTTACATTTTGACTTACAATAGTTGTTTAAACATTTTATTTTCTATTGTTGTTTATTATTTCACCCTTACTATAGATCTGAATAATATATTGTTTAGGTAAATTATACCATATAATCTGTACTGTATAGATATTTCTTGTTAAAATATGTTTGTTGATAACTACTGCAAATGTTTTCAATAAACAGTAATTTCATATATGATTTAATGGTTTATGCAGATATGAATAATTAAACTCACTGTCAAAATATTTGTTCTGTAGTTCTAATGATAAACTATGATCCATGAAAGCAACTAAGAAAAGTATTGGAATGAGTAATTTTCATAGATTTTAAATACGTAGTACACTACCTGGAGTTGGATATCGATTATTATCATTTTCTAATGATAATGTGTATACTTCGAAACTTGAATAGTCTGAATTCCATTATATATTAATGTACAGCTCAGAGAGTCCGGAAATAAGCACCACCATTCTTTGATTTTCAGGATTTCGTTTCATAATTCTGTTATATTTTGTGCCCTGTGTCCTTATTAGTGTATAATGTAATGATACTGCCAATTAAAAAATAGTGAATTATCGACCGGATCAATCATTCATAAAACAAGTACGAGCAGTCTAGAGTTCTTATCGGTCCTGCTTCTCGCCTAACCCTGCCTGTTAAGTCCAGAACACCAATTTCAGCCTCTGTGATATGAATCATTTATTTCAAACATACTAGGTTTATACACCAGCCGGACAAACCACATCGTGCCATAAAATAGGTAACAGCATTTGTACAAGATTTAACTCAAAGTGGCTGTGAATATGGGAGGTAGTAATTGATAGACTGGGCGTAACTCAAGAATGGTGAATCTTATAATAACAGTTTATAGGTCGAAATAAAGCTGATAATAAGAGGAACACGAATATGAATAGTTTATTTACTTGACAATTATACGATAAAAATATACGTAAAGTGTTAGTCCATAAATGAATCCCAAAAGTTACCATTGATTATTCTAATCGGGATATAACAAATTCTTTGAAGAAAACTATCCTTGAACAATTTCTATATATTTTACAAGTCAAATTTTTATCGACTCATATATTTACGAGTTAAATAATCTATTCATTTTTCTTTAAGAATCTACTGGTTAAATTACAAAGTATGAATTTATATCCATCAGTAGCACCAATAAGATTTTTCGGTTCAACTGGGGGAGGTGAAGAGGAAGAAGAAGAAGTCATACCTGAAGATATAGATACTGAAGAGTTATTTAGAATAGTAGCTACTAAAAAAATGCCAGGTCCACGGGCTCGTTGGCATAAAAGCCCATGGAAACGTTTATGCCCTGTAGCATTATATGAAGGTCAGCTGTCTATGGGAAAACCAGAATTTACAGTTGGGTAAGTTTCAATGACATCAACTGGTCATATATGAAAATAACTCTTTATTAACATGAACTGTGTTCAGTAAAAATTAGATCATACGTTTGATTGCATAATTTTCGGTGATTAACTGTTAATAGAATATCCATAAATGTTATTTTTCGTCAGGCACATTAATTTACAGTTACATTATAGAATCTGTTTCAATGACACAATTATTAATTTCTCGAATGCCAATGCTCTTCTGGCTATAAGCATATGAAAGTGACAAAAAAATTTTAAAACAATTAGTCCCTTTGATAAATTTCGATAGTGTAATAAGAAGATGAAGATTATCGAAACTATGTGATAGATTAGCACAACACATTTCGAACAATCTGATCCCACATAATATACTTGTTAAGAACATTTATATTTAAAATGGAGGGTAACAATAGACAAGGATAATAAAGAAAATAATGTGCAAACAATCTGATACCTCATCACTCTAGATAATAAGCTAATATTACCAGGGTAAGTTTAAAGTGAGAACAAACTGTTTTTGTATATACAAAGGGAATTTGAATTTTTGTATAGCTAAGACTTCAATAAAACTTAGTATACACCCTTTTATACTTTTGTACAGTACCACAAAAGCCAAGTTACGATCAATCTTATGACCTGTTTAACATTTATATTATAGATTCAAATAGCTCAACAGTTATTTACTTATATGCCAAAACATTATCATCACATTTATTGTAGCCATTTAATTTTGATATACTTTTTATTAGCAAAGTTTTCAATATATATATAGTTGCTAATCTCTTAAAACACTTTTAATATTATCATATTTTCAAATTTTCTTTTATCTGAATAATTTCCTATCTAGTTATCTTGGACAAATATTTTGTTTAGCAAATATTGAAAATTTTACATCATTTATGAAAAATCCAAGACCTTATTTATTACCACCTCAACCAAGACCACCATTTCGTGTTGTTGTACTTGGTCCTAAAGCATCTGGTAAAACGGAACTGATTCATATATTAGCTGAATCATATAGAGCAAAAATTATTGATATAGCTGGAATGCTTCAAGAAGAATATAATATAAGAGTAAGTGAAAAATTGAAAGAAATTCAAGAGAAAACTGAAGCAATTGTAATCAAAGAAATAACGGAAAAACAACAGTTAGAAATTCAGTCATTAAACTCAGGTAAGAATGAAGTTTATAGCAACGATACAATAACTAGGCATAACTATTATTAAAAGAATTACAAAAAAGTACCAATTTACAAGCATGATAAGGTTTGGTACAAAAGGAATGCACTACCTTAATTTGTAAAAAAAATGATTCATCAAATGCTTGTCAAAAAGGTCTTAATAATGTGAAACATTTGATGCGAGGAAATACTTAAGCATTGCTGTTAGTATTTTAGTAATAGATCTGCTGCATGTATACATGATGATGACTTTTTGAACTCTTTCTAGATTCTTGTAATTCTGCCACACTTGATCCCAGAACAGTGTAAGAAGGGGGCGAAGTAACAAAAGAAGCTTTACTTCAGGGTTAATTTACGTACAGAAAACAATAATTTGTAAAAATATACCGATAATCTTTGACATATAGAAACTTATGGAAGCTTGATAAATTTAAAAACAGAATTAGTAAACATCTAGTCATAGTGTAGTATATAATTTGTCAGTTTTCTAAACCTTTCCCTGGATTCTGAATTTATTAATGAGGTATTCTCGGTAGATTTAGGTAGTACAATGATCCCATAGAAATATACACCTTAACAGTCATCAGTCTGGTAAGTACAGTCGTCTTTAGTAAACAATGTGAGAAGAGCGGAAGTACCTAAACAGTGGCAGAGCTACCACGTCATAGACAATTTGGAATGACAGATGTTCCAAAAGGGACAGACATTCACTGAGTAGGAAGACTACGGAGTCTTTTTTTTTACAAATGATTAGTTTGGTGTAGAGTAATTTAAGTCACGTTACAGGGGACTTACCATTTTAAATCTATATGCATATAATAGCAAAGTAAACGAAAATAATACAAAACTAACTACATGAAGTATGTGTGAAAAACAGAAAATTAGGAATGTGGAATAAAATAAAGTTTATTCATTTGAGGCGCAACAAGCTGTATAGCAAAATACATCTCTGTATTTGATTCACGCAGTATTATTGGTGATTGCAATCATTGGTTTTACATATCTCACTGAAAAATTCCTTTGTATTGGTAGTTTGAATCTTTTCATTGATGTTTAGGATTGAAATTGATCAGTCTATTTCTAGCATATGTTCATCCTATGCAGATTGCCTCGATATCACCATAAGTTGGAAGCGTCATAAAGAAAGATGGATGATATCTAGCATTGGAATCCAGGATGCGTGTTTTGTCCTAAGTAGGACTCGTCAGCTGGATGTGCCTAGAGCCCGGAGTTATCAGTCTCATATTAGTTCCATTGCACAAGCTAGTGGCTAACGAATAATGCAATGGCGTTTGTAGAGAATGGAACTGGGTTCGAATTCTGTAGTGATCATCAACATTGGAGTGCAGGTAAATTCAGATGACGAGTCCAAAATGGAATGAAACACGCCACCTGATTTCCCTTACACCTAACCATCGATTTCCGCATATAATCGCATCCAATAAACCAGGGAACATTTGAAACATTATTTGGATTCTACTGATATTCATTTACTGCATGGATTTACTCGATTAGTATGAAGTTTAAAATCATATACTCTACACTACTTAACAAGAAATACCGATGTAGGTCATAGTCATGCATACAGAGCAAACATAACAAAAATTGAAATTTCATGGTGACCTTTTCTTGTATTATTACATAAGTGTCAACTCAACAGTATGATTACATTCAGTAGTCCTCATTAAAAGAATTCGTATTATTAAAATTTATTAATTTGTGATGAGCCTGATAACCTTTTATTATTATCTCTTTAACGAAAATATATTACCCATTTAAAACTAAACAATTTTTGTTTTCCCTAGAAAAAGTGACTGAGGATACTACTGAAATAACTGAAGAAATAGTGACAAATAAAACAGAAGAACAAATCACTAAAGATGATGAGGATTCACAAGAAGGAGAAAGTGAGCAGATGGAAAAATAACATATAAATCTTATTTTAACATTATTTAATAATAATGGAACCGTGGACACACATTGCTGAGGAGTTTCATACTAGGACGAAACGACTGTTCAGTGCTTATAAGTTTTCCATAGTGATCTAGTTTAAATTGACTAATGAATTCGACTATTAAATAATAAGATGGTGAAAACTTTAGTGTTATCAATTACATACTTAATTGATAATTATTGTTAATTACAATAACAAATGAAAAGTGAATTCTTTTGTTTAGTGCAAAAAAAACGATACGTAATTAGCATAACATTTGAATATTAGTTTACAAAAAAGAATAAAAGTATAACTCATTTACATTAACCTTTTGTTGAAAAAAAAATGAACGAAAAGTCATAATTGTGAATTTTAGCGTTTATTTGCAATTAAATTTATGCATTCCATGGTACGAAACCATTATCATTAGCCTACAATTAAGTTTACTGAAAAAACAAACAAACAAATGATGATCTGATTACTCAAAGAAAACTATTTTTGTCTCAATTTAGTTAGGCTAATGTGATTTGCAGAAATGAAGTGATCAAATCTAATAGAGTATGATAGTTTGCATTCTGTAGCTAAAAGCTTATAGCATTCTACATAATTAATTAATTAATAAGAACTTTCGTCTACATTTGATTGAATAGTTTCACAGTATTTGGGCGCCGAGTTAATATGAGACATTAAAGAGGAAGAATGTATTTGTAAAATCTCAGCGAAAGAATCTGAAGTAAATCCAATGTAAAACAGAGAACCATGTACCTATTTATATTCGATAATTTTGATGTTTGATTATATTTCCTTGAAAATTTTTGAACTAGATTACCAGGCGAAACGTTGGATTTACTTCAAAATTCATTCGTTAAGATTTTATAAATATATTCTTCCTCCTTAATGATTCTACATAATCATTATGTAATTTATAAATTAATTGACTAGTTTGTGTAAATTACTTCATTTACTTGCATAAAATTTGTTTCTTCATATAGAGACAAGTGAATTGAATGAAAATAAAGAACAATCACCATCGTCTGACATTCCACAATGTAAGTGATTGAATTTTACAAAACGTATTCGTAAAAATATAAGCAAATGTTTAAACTTCATAAATTCCGCCTTTTTATTAGACGTTTAGGAATTCTTGTTGAAGATAGACATTAGTAAGCAAATGGTTGTGATTTGGTTGAGAATATCTTGGTTACTGTTTAAAAATTGTTTACGTTATAAATTGACTGTAACTAGACAACCATTGATAACTAAGTAGCACCAGATAAATGTTTTGTTCTAAAACGGTACTCCCTACCATTTGGACACCCATGACCACAAAGGCGTTGTAGCCCTGGGTCTTAAGTATTCACTGTGTGCTCCATTTGTTTAGATCAATGAATCACCATTCATGTTTAATACTTACAATCTCAGTCGTTTTAGGGTTTTATGAGACCATTATACAATATCTTCGATGATGATCACATAATTGAATGGATTGTTGAAATCCGTTAGTCAGGTAAACAATTCATCATTTAAACTAAAACTTCATAGATAATGATAAGCTACACGAATTTCGTTTTATACACGATATCAATAATAATTTTGCTAGAATACATACAAATTTTGTTTTCATGGAAAATATATTAAAATAACTTTAAAGTAAAAATAGCCGGTGCTGTTCGATTAAAGATATAGCATTATTAGTAATTAATAATCTCATTAGAGAAAGCCACATGAGTTAGTGCTATAAGTTAAATAAAATACCGTCGTAATGCTCATAACTGTTGTACTAGTAGTAATGATAAAAATAAGCAAAAATATATTTTGATACTGAAAGTTGGTCAGAATTTAGTAAAGTAGTCTTTCAGAGTATCTCAAAGTTTAGATTGGGTCATTTAGTCAAATGTGATCAATGCATATTACGTGATGAATAAAACTGGGATGTCTATAGCTATTTGTCGAGTGTTTTAATATTCTTCCAGTGCTGTGACGAACGTGTTTTGTTATATGAATTGGAGCCATCAATTCAAGTATTTGTATTTAAATTAAATATGTAATACTTTGATCCTTTCATATGGGTAATCTCTATCCACCTGGGGGTCAAACCTAGAATCTTCAGAGATCAGGACCGGCAGACTTTAATTAGATCATTTGATTAGAATCCATTGGTCAATATCTCTAACTTCAATCAGTTTACGACAGTCTTCAACGACCATTCAGTGGCATTAGTGATATATATTTCATTACTATTGATCTTCAGTTCCATTGGCCGTAGCTCAATATTTCAATGGCTGTCTAACTGAAGTAATTTCGTGTTGTAAACTATGTACAAACTAAAAAAAACATTTTATCATAATAAGAAATAGTATTGTATTTCATTTATGTAAACAATAATAAATAAACAAATTTCCAATAACTTAAAACTATTTATAACGAGCCATCATGCTGAGAATGCATAAACATATCTGAACGTTACTGTTTTAGGCAGAATTACATGATTTCATGACTACATTAAAAACGTTCCTTTAAATATTTCAATAACAATGTTATGTTATTTTGTTAATGAACTTAATCGAGGAACAATGTAAAATGTAGTTTTTATTGAAAAAAATTCCAATAATATGTCAAGCATTACTTCCAATCCAATCTTATTAAAAACAAGAGTATTTGTAGAGTCAGTAGCTATGTAAACCGACATAGCTTATTCTGGCTTCCGGATAAGCCAATCAGTTCATCATTCTTGAGTCACGTTTTGACCTTGTTAATTATTCGCTTATCAACCTTGATTGTTTTTATGTAAGCATATGTGTGGGCATTTCTTATCCTACTCATCACATGTCTGTAACTATTTTCTGTTCGGCTATAAATATCGATTAACACTTATTTGAGTTGGTTCACACGCTTTCTACGCCGCGTCATTATGATTCGCAGTCTTCGTTTCGTTCCCCTGATTGTCTGTCAAGATCAATGAGTGTACAAAATATAAGCATTCAAAACTTCATTCTCATATTTGACATATTTATATCCGTTATTCACTAATGCGAAATAAATCGATAATATTATACGAGGATTGATGATATGTATATTTCGATAACAATCATTCATTGGAGTCAGATATAGGGCCACCAAATATTATTACATGACTTTTTTATATATCCTTTACATTATTACATTATTGAATTAAATGAAATATGATTGTGAGTTGCTTAATGTATGAGATATCAAGCTCGAAATAGGGAATTCCTTTACACCTCCACTTATACTAATGTTCTTCAGCAGACCTCACATTACTTAAGGCGTAGACGATAAGTTTACTTATATGACAACCTCGGTGTTCGTTCATCGGCTAACTTGATTTTTAAGAATATGATATATTGATCATTCGACGAGTGTTATTTTAAGTAGGATTAAATCAAACTATTTAGTATCGTTAAAGAGAAACAGGAATCTATCGATATGAATAATAAAGCCTCTTTTCAAAACTTGGTAAACTCTTTATTGAGAAACATTTACAAGGTGAATAAATACATTTCAGGGTGGAGTATCAACACCTTCTATGCATTACTGGTATCCTTACATACACCCATTTATTGTCTCCTCTTACCAAGATAACAATTCCTAGTTACATAAATTCATCACAATCTAATACCTATTTCCATATCATTTTGGTTACAATCCATTTTTAAGTTGATATTATCATTTTATTTGAACAATTTTCATAATTGAAGAGGAAGAATGTATTCGAAAAATCTCAGCGAAAGAATTTCAAGTAAATCCACCGTTTTGCCTAACAATCTAGTCTAAGCTTTTTCAAGGAAATTTATATTATAATGAATTCATATCTACTTTCTATGAGATTTGTGATTAATTTCTTATGCTTTAAACCATTTAATGTTCACTCCTCAATAAAAAATAATACTATTTGTACATTTATTCATTGTCTATTATATGATATTTGACCATCAAAGAGATTTCTTTTTTTCAAACCATTTCCTTTTTCCCTTTATTACTTTAACTCTCAATAAGTATTTTTCGTTAATCTAGAAGCTGAAAATGGCCTTAAGTGAAATCTTGGAAAATTCAAAGCAATCGTCTATAAAATTTTTGTCTTCATTGAATAGGTTAACAGATTGAAATGGTAAAACAGACTTCAAATTAATGCATTTATAAAAAAAACTGTTTTTGTTCATCATGAACATAAAGAAAAATATGGTAACAAACTAACGGCTATTTTTTCATAAAACACTTCATAGATTTACTTCAACCAATAGATAAAGATCATCCAGAAGTTAAAATGCGTGTTGCAGAAGCTCTTCAAAGTATTAAACAAGAGTCAATTGAAATCGAAGTAGATTTTTACATAAATGCTGTTCGTGCAGCAGTTGATGAAGTTGAAACCAAATTACGTAATGATAATCCAGGTGGTCCATAGTAAGTAAAACTAAATTACTTTAAATAGTTTTTAGTGCTAAGAACATATTCTCTTTTAAGTTGTTATTATTTAAAATAATTTTGATTGAAATCACAAATAGATCAATGTTAGACCACTATTGAAAATCTTTAATTACTGGACGACCGTTTCGTTCTAGTATGGGACTACTCAGCAGTGTGTGTCCATGATCCCGAACACAGGAATCGAACATCTAAACCTCTGACCTTTCACCTAATGGTGTTAATGTATAACTTTAATCAATTAACCATCTTACACTGTCTTTGGCGAGTAACTGTCTCTCACCCGAAACGGCTTCTCACTACAATTCCTGAAATTTACTCTCGAAGCTAGTCACTAGTGAGCTCATTATAATTATCAGTTAGGGGTTGTCGAGATTGTTGAATTTCGTTGAAATCATGAACCGATCTATTTTGTTGCACTCTTCTTGAATCTACTAGTATTTTTACTTTTTTGTGATGTTATTAGATGGGGCAACTTTAAGTCACGCATTAATGTTCAAGATTACTTACTGTAATCAATAGTTGTAGTTCCAAAGCTTTGTTCACACTTTGTATTCTTAAATTACTCTATGAATACTAGAAAGTTCTGTATGTCTTTATTCCGTTCTCTTGAACTAAGTGTCATCACCTTGTTTTGCCTGCCTACTAGTTTGAGCATAATATCCAAGGGGAGTTGTTTTCGACTCGTTTACGACCTTAACGTGGTAGATCACGTAGAACAACCTTGAGACTTGCAGCTAATGAGTTTTGATTGTGAGTAAACTGCCCCGTGGGCACAAAGAGAAAGAAACTATCTTATCACTGACCTCTGACCAATAAAATCATAGATCAAAGAGAAGATGGCTTGAATGAAACTGTTTGTCTGATTTATTCTTGATTCAGCTAAATTGACAAAGTGATTGAGTAAGTAAATGACTAAGAGAACCATTATGTGCAAAGATTGAGAAGAATACAGCTAAATATAAACAGTGACATTAGAATAGAAAAAGTGGGATGTAAGGATCGCCTTTAAATGACTGTGATTTAGAAATAACAGAGCATAAAGCAGTCATTTATAAATCTAGCGAAAACTTGTGCTTTTCAGAATTAAGCAGACTCAAAACTAGCTTCTAATAATCTACACACTTCAAATTTGGTGAGACGTCTAATAAATAGCTTGTTTGTCATTTCTTCATTGCTCTCCTCACAATAATGATTTTAGTAATCATAATTCATACTCAATGACATTTATTTGAAGAATGCAGTAATGAAGCCACACACTTATTTTGATCTTTGAAACTATTCTTTCATGTTACAAATGAAATTACGAACCACTTATTTTCGAGGTTTTTCTTCTCTAACATGAGATATTATTGTCTGTCGTTAGTGTCGTTTCTGACTATAAAATGTAAAAGGCTGATCCTTAGTTTTTTCTTGTACTTCCACTGACTAGTATTATTGTTTAAAAATTAACAGTTCTTCAGCTTCTCTATTAAAGTAAGTGACTGATACTTATTTGAAATATATATGAAAGTAAAGACATTTATGTACCAAGCTGAGTGTTCTAAGTGGAATCATGTTACTCAAGAATTAAAATCCCTGTTGAGGAGCTTCTTAAATATAAACACAAACTTTAGTATTACTATCGTTGACAATGCACTTCGACTTTGCATGTATCATCTGATTACGAAACAATTTTTAATTTTTTTTCTGGCTGATTAACCTCAATTTATTTTTAGTTAAGCATTATTTATCTGACATATTCATATGACATATATTCTTAGTCACGGTCAGTGGATTATTGATGGTCTTCCTGTACGTCCAGATGTTTGGAGAAGTTTCACGGAGAATGCTCCAGAATTACTGCCTGATTTAATCGTTTACTTACAAGATACAAGTATAAATTCAGAGTACTTACTTCGAAGATGGATTCAATTAAAAATAGAAGAATTTGGTGGTTTGTAAAATATTTTGTAGTTATTAATTTATTTGTAACAGTTCTACAGTAACTAGCGATTATTTTTAAAGCTTTTGTGAACTCAAGATCTCACACTGGATCAAACCCAAAAGCCATCAGATTCAACAGTAAAATAGATGTGTTTGGGTCACTAAACTGAAATCTAATGACTTACGTTTTCAGCTTTTCTGATTTTCTGAAATTCACTCTCATTTAGTGATTATCATCTTACTTTCAAGATTTGCTCAATACTAAGTAATCTTAGACTATGATGAAACATTTGTCTAATGCTTCATGATTTTTAATATTTCCCTAGCTGATTTGATTTCTGGGTAAAATTTGTTACCGGTATATATCACTAATAACTCATGCAGTGACAATAATTACACCAACTACTAATTTATGAAAAGTTTAGAATTGTTGAGTGGATAAAGATAATAAGTATGCAACCTTGAATAACCTAGGTTTCGTAATTGACTATTTATTTTCCATTCTTTATATCTCTGAATCTGGTATTTCAATAAGAATAGGGTACTAATTTGTAAAATTTCACATATATAACACAATGAAGTCTTTTTGAATACTGACTATCTCAAATAATTTATTTTCGCGGATAAAAATATGGTAATTAAGTTTTAGAGGAATCAAACGATTTTAACTGAGTAACTCCATGTTAATGACGCCATAAGATGAACTACATTACATCGGAATTGAATGCTTATTGTAACTAATACTTTCTTGCTTCATTATTTACAATGGATGAAGTTAGATGGTGGTTGGAGTTAGTCGGCAGGAAACCATGGACCCGGGTTTCGTGCTAATTGGCACTTGTCAGCAAGGTGTACCTGTAATCTTGAGGGAACTGGTACTCCCTGGCGGATTCGATCCCGTGTCACCCAGCTTCACAGTCAGAGACGTCAACACTGAGCTATCCAGGCCGCGGCCGATCTCCAGCAGGACTGAGATGTAATCACGATTGATCGATCACTGGGTGGTGATCAATGTCATGTGTGTTAAGCCAATGAATGAAATATGTATTTTTATCAGTCTCATATATCAACACACCATTCTGGGTTAAATAAGAGAGACGAAATTATTTTAGATCGTAAAGTAAACGATTATATGAATATTCGAATTTACTTACCATTTGTTTAAGACAATAGAAAATATGCTTTATCATGAAAACAGGAAATGAAATCAGAATGTATCTTAATAAATTTGATTAGTACTGTTTTCTTGACAGCATATCAATTAGATTGTGGTTGGGAATTCTATTTACTATGTAACAGTTTCTTAGGTTTTATTTTAATATTTACCTTTCATAATTATTTTAAACAGTCGTTTATTTAACAAGATAATTTTTACAAACCACTTGGACTTTAGTATGCTGGATGTTAAGCAATTGACAAGCATTATCATAAAATACTTTCCTGTTAATTCAATGAGAAATAAAATGTATGTAATCCTTTATTCTTGTAAAAAAAACATTTCAGACATAGAATCATTTGACCTAACCGAGAATATTGAGAGTGTAATTACTGAAGATCTTGAAAGCGAACAACCCAAAATATCCGAGGAAACCATTCTTTTAAATGGAAGTCGTGGTCAAGCTGCCCTATTGAGACTTAAAGAAGCAGAAAAATTATGGACAGAAAGTTTTGATTTGTTAAAGCGTACAATTCAACCGTTAGGTGCTCCTGTCGATGTTATGGAATTGAATATAACTGATAAGACAATAGATCAAATGAGAGATGAAGTTTTAGATCGTTTAGTTAGTAAGTTTATTTTATGAAGATATCTGATTATATTTTTTTGAGGAAACAAAACTGTATCCAATATTAAGTTCACTTCATTTTTTGGATTTATTCATTGATGACTGATCAGTCCCTATTTGGCATATGTGCATTTTATGCGGATTACCTCTGTATTACTGTAGTGAACAAGAACACCAGTGGGGACAATCGAATGTACTTAACACAAATCACAGGACTTGCTAATAAAATCTAGCAATCATAAATTAAATGCTTAATTTGTAAAATGTCCACCGATTATCTCAAAATGACTCAGACTTCATTGTTCTTGCATTTTCATACAAATTGCATTCTGTTTCCATTCTTTACTGTTCGATTCTCTTATTTCTTTGCTGCTAAACCTTCTGTTCACGACTAACATCACATACTACTTATGTTGATATAAGTAGTACATACCACATTATCAGTAAGTCCTGGAACGAACATCAACTTCGGGATGTAAGTGCGCTCAACTGATGAGTCCCAAATAGGATAAAACGCCCATTCTGGATTCCACTGCTAGCCACTATCCATCTCTACTTAGAATTTTCTAAATATTATTTATTTAATATGAGGAGCAAGTTACTTCATGCTCATTAATAAGATAGTTTTCATAGAAATAGATATGTGGAAATACTCCCATCATATTAGCTAAATTGATCATAAGTAGTTTAGATTCAGTTTGAAAAGCTATTTTTTACATAATTTTACAAAAAAGGTTCTGAAGGCAAATATTTTCTTGGTTTTTCACATTGATCTGTAAATGTATTAGGATCAAATTACTTATAGACTAACTTTCCTAGATTAATGGATAAGACGTTGAAGATGGCACAGGTATTCGGAGTTTGACAACGCTCTAACTAGTAACACTTAATATGAAGCGTACCCACCAAGTGAAATCAAACGACAGAAGCGAAGAGGTTCGAAGATATATTTGATAGGCTATCAATATATTGAGGATCGTCTGATCTAATCTGGATAGCGATTGCAGGGGTTGTTGAGCACGGCGTTCCCACTCGTGACCTGGTACGGATGCATGACCGAGCGCCTTCAGCTAGGTGAGTCCATTAAAACCAATGTGGTCAGCATCCAATGTCAAAAACTTACAGAGCTATTTATTTTGGGGATTTATTTACCGCTACAACGTAAAAGAGTTAAATGTCGACATTTTTTTGTAAGCGGTTTAAAATCATAAACGAATATTAAAAGTAATCGTTGATGTCAGTTTAATCTTATCAAAAATTTATTTATTTCTAATAACAATTCAGTCAGTTGTTTAACTAATTTGTCAAAGTTTATTAAATATTATAATAAACAATATTTGATTGAAACAAAATAACTAACTGGTGCTGCTTAACGTTTTGTATTTAGTTTGATAGGGGGGGGGAAGAAGTGATAAAAAATCTTTTATCCATATAACATTTTTGTATCTGCAGATAAATTAGTCCTTGTTACTGGAAATCGTGGATCTGATGATACAAGTAAACGCGTAAAAAACGATAAATGAGAATTCATTTAGCATTCACAATAAATCAAAAATGAATACTTAAGTACACTGAATTTTCGTATAATTTACACTGATTAAATGTTAGATCTAAATTCACTTGGTATTGTTTACTTGAATCTTCTCATTGGTTCTTAAGACTGCAATTAATCAATCTCTTATTGGCATATATGCATCCTGTGCGTATCGCCTCGATATTAACTTAATTCATAAACATTATAAGCAAAGATGGATAATGGCTAGCACAAGCAAGTGGCTATCAGGACTCAGTAGGTAAGTGGATAACGCGATTGTGTTTGAAGCGAATAGTATTGAGTTCAAGTCCAGGAGTGAACGTTAAGTCTAGAATACAAGTATATCCAGCTGACGGGTTCCAAATAGGACGAAACGTGTGTCCTGGATTCTACGGCTAGCCACTATTCATCTTTGCTTATTATTGTTAGATCTGTTTACATCAAAGCGAACAGTGTAGTGAACAAGAACACAGGTGGGGACAAGCGGATGTATTTAGCACAACAATTACAGTCTATCTCAACAAAATCTGAATACCATATAGTCAATCGTCAATTTGCATCAAAACAAACTGGACTGTTTCTGTTGCAAACACCAATCCATTGTCTCCCATTCCATTGTTCATGCATTTTCTTACAAATTCTATTGTGTTCTCGCTCTACCTTTCTTGATCTTCGCCATCTTCCACTGTCAGACATTACGTTCTTTTAACGCACGTTATGTACTACTTATATCAATATAAGTAGCTCTCACCACAACAGTACTTAGTATCAATTAATCTACAGTTTACTTGATAAGAATAATAATTTTGACGGCCTATAACCAACAAATATAACTAATATGAATATTGTAAAAGGATTGAAAAAACAAATCAATATTATAAGTCAATGGCACTCTTAGTAATAATAAATGTTTTTGGCGGAGTTTGGTTCTCTGAGCTGGATGGTTCAGTCGTGGAGCTTTCATCGTTCTTCTGAATGATATCATCAACACAAACTTCTACCTGAAGTTCATTCATTTTGTTGCATCACAGTTATCCTGAATATGTACAATATTTTATTTGAAATAAAAGCAATAATGCAAAAATGTTTAAAAAAAGTAAAGAAAATACAAAACAAAAACGATAAATAAACACTTGTTTTAATACAAAAACTAAAAATAGTAATTTCTAGACAACTTATTATTGGTTAAGATGGCAAAACAAATTTCAAAGCAATTAGTCCCTATGATAAATTTCAATAGTGTAATAATATGACGAAGATTATCAAAACTATGTGATAGATTAGCGCAATACATTTCGATCAATCTAATCACACGTATTATACTTGTTAAGAATATATATATAAGACCAACTCGACTAGAAATGAAGGGTAACAATAGACAAGGATAACAAATAAATAGTACGAAAAAAATTTCGATGTTCTTCGCTTAAAATTTAATTTGACTATGTTCATATATCACGCCAATCTTGAAGTTGAATCTAGATTTCAATTGATAATGAATAGTGAATTGATTCTTTAAAATAGCCCTGACTGAAAATAATCTTTTTTCTTTAAAGTGATATGTAAAATTTGTAGAAAATATAAATTCCAGTCTTATACTATGGTACTGTCGTTCATATAGATCAACAAATTTACTTTCCTTATCTTGAATATCAATGAATCACTAGGTTAATTATGATTTAAATTTTCTTATAATAATTAACCTCAATTAGACCAATTTAAAATAGAACCGATAGCAAAGACACAGGAGGATTTAGATGAAGAGGAAGAAGAAGATGCTGGTGCATTTGAAGAAACAATTGATGAAGAGTTTAGTATAGATGAAGAAGGTATAGAAGAAGGTGAAGAAGAGAATGAACAAAAGGAAGAAGGTGAAGAACTGGAAGAAGAGGAAGAGGGTGAAGAAGAAGTAATTGAAAGAATTTAAACAATTTTTAATGTGTTGATATTTATTTATTTGTAAATATACTTATTTGAGTTATGTGTAAAATCTCATTAGTAAATAAATAGTATCGGTGATGATATTATCATTATGAAGGAAAAATATATTTAGGAAATAGTTTTTCTGCACAATTACGTCACACGATTTTTGAATTACTGAACATCTTGTACAAGTTTGAAACTACTTATGTACATACCTGTGAGTTTCTTGTTTATTTTAACCAAACAAAAACATTTGACACAATATCCGTAAATTTAACTTGAGCATTAAACACTTGTTAGTCTCAGTGTACTTCATAATAAATTGAAAATGCTTAAAACCAGCAAACTGTTCTCTGCTTCTAGGCTTATCCAAAAATAGAGATAATTGTCTATTCTGATAACCATTTTAGCTAAAAATCATTGTTAAAAATCAGAAAGCAATGGAAAAACGTTTCATTTCGAGTCTGGTCTAATAATCAGTGTTTACTCACGTTTTTAAATATTAAAGAAGCCGGATTCTCCAGTGGTTTCAGTCAATAAGATGCTATCAGACAATGGATGATATTTTCAGCAGTTTATTTGTTGTAAAACATTGAGGTTGTAAAATATGGAATTTTTCAGTCTGAATCAGTGATTTCAAGTTATTACATTCATCGTTGGGTCATAAGGTTCAAAATTTTGTTACCTAGCGATACACGTTTTTGAGTTGTCTCAATATGGGACTTCGAATTTTCAAATGTTCTATAGTAAATATCGGTATACGGTGAAAGTTATTTTGATATTATATTTATATACACGAAATAACTGTTTTCTCCTTTTTTTCCAAGTTAAATTAAAAAAGACTCATCTATATTGGTGTTTTAGGAATCAGATTCAAGTAGAAATTTACAGAAAAATTTAGGCTTAACAAGTTATTTCTGCCCAGTAACATTACGTGAATATGGTGTATTGCGTGCTGGTGATCCAGAAATTGTAGCTGTTCATCAAAATTTAATTTATTACTTTTCTAATGAAGAGGCCAGATCAAAGTTTATGGAAAATCCAAATGTCATATTAAATGGTTCAAATGGATTATTAAAGGTTAGTTTTATAAAAAAAAGGTGTATAATTTGAAAATTTATTTTTTAGCCTACCGTTTATCTATATGTAGAATATTGAATGTGTTTAAAACATTTTTCACTACTTTTTAAGCAAAAATGGATAGTGGCTAGTAGTGGAATCCAGTTTGACGTGCGTTTCGTCCTATCTGGGACTCATCATCTGGATGTACTTGCATCGAGTCCCGGATTCCATTGTTAGCTACTATCCATCTTTGCTTATAAACCTTGTGACTTAAGGCTATATCGTGGCGATCCGCACAGGATGCACATATGCCAACATGAGACTGATCAACTGCAGTCTTAAATAACAATGCGAAGATACAAGTAAAACAACACCAAGTGAATTTTTCACTACTGTTACCAAATCATTCATAGTGACTGACAAGAATACCTCTTGAATTAGGTTTTGTGAATGATATCACTATGACTATGATTTAAATATGTTTTTTATAGCTTACTAAATGTACAGAATAAAATACACTCTTCATTGTAGATATTTTTCAACTAACAAGCTTTTATTTTACTTTGTAATGATGGAATGAATGAGAATTCATGTGAGGAAAACCAATTCATTGGTTTAATAAAAATGTGAAAACCATGCATCAAATACATTATTTGTACATCTTTGAATTGTCTCTTACAAGCTTCATTAATCCTTCATTCTTGTTGTTGTCTTTGTTGTTTTCAGTTGCCTTCTCTCTACTCTTCATTTCAATCTTTTTAACTTTCTACTTGCAAGCATTTCACTTCCGACTGGTGTTAAATATTAATTAGATCGGCAAACATACGTAGCATACATCACAATAAGTTACAGATCATGGAGCAACCACGCAAATCAACAAATAATTTTGACGGATGGACTTCATTTGTATTTAAGAAAAACATTTTCATCTATGAAAATAATCATACAAGAAAAATTTATTTTTTATTATTAAGTTAGAGTTCTGTTTTCTAACAGAATTCTTTGATTTGTTATTTATTAATATAATCAGTATGGTCATGATCTCAATCGAAAACTTAACAATCTCCAAAACTCTATACTGATAATTATCATGCTCTCAGTAGTGACTAGTTTCGTGAGGAAATTCTCGGAGTTCTAGTGAGAAGCCGTGACGAATGGGGTCTAATTCGTGTCAGGTAGAGACATATATCTACCTCAGAAAATGGAAGATGGTCACGCGATTTCGTGGATTGATTAAAGTTAGATATTAACACCGTTGGATGCCGGCTTAGTGGTCTAGATGTTTAGCGTTTGAATGAAAGATGGAAGGTTCTGTGTTCGAATCCCGCGTGCTGGATCATGGATGCGCACTGCTGAAAAGTCCCACACTATGACGAAACGGCCATTGAGTGCTTCCAGGATTTATTACTACAAGTCAATTTGTTAGGATATTTCGCGAAATATTGATACAACTGATAAGATGGAAAGAAAAGTCAAAATTCGATTGGTGCAATAGTTATGAGCTTTGTTCAACATTACTTCTGTTCTGATTCAATGTGATGATTATTCAGTGTTGTATTCGGTTTTGTTTTCTCGGAGGATATTTTAATCTATATAATATATGTTATTCTTGTATTCAATTGACATGAACTATGCTCAGTATGCGATTTGTTATAACTGAGTATTTTTCATATATGTGACTTCTTCCTAATTATTAATCATCAAAGTGTGTGTACAATCAATATGTAAGTGAGTGTATTTTCGAATAGGGTTGTCGTCGTCGTGTTTTGGGGTTAATAAATCTTCACTTATACCAGTCTTTGTGTTCTTACTTTCGCGTCGTGTGAATTGCAGAGGTCCCTTGTTTCAAGTATAAGTGATAAGCGTTTCCGACATAACAATCAGTGATGACCAGATATAACAAGTAGCATTCAACTAACAAGTTATAACAACAACATTTTTGAATTTTTGTTCATTGAATTTTAGTATTTTTATTATCATCACATATTTGTAAATTCTAGAAAATGCATTTAGATCAGAAAAAAAATCTCATTAACTACTATGATCGTAGGCGTTTGCATTGGTTTTTTCATTTATTCACTGACTTTCTTATATTGTAGATTAATTACAATAATCAGTTATTGAATATTAACCAATATAATACATATTTGGTCAGTTTTTGATAAATTATTGTATTATGTTGTGATTTAATTTACGTGTTCATGAAATTAATTTACTGACCCATCAGAATCAGTGATTATTCAGTAGATTCATTTGTTCTGTTTAATATTGATATATTTTAACAAACAGTTGTATATTTCTTTTGAAATTTTTCTGATAACAGTACAACTAATTAAAAACTTCATAAACTGAGATTACTTAACAAAGATATAAACTACAATAAATCCATTCTTTTAGATGGGTGATCAGGAATATCACTACTTACTTACGCCTGTTACTCCTCGTGTAGGAGCATAGGCCGCCCACCAGCACACGCCATCTAACCCTGTCTTGGACAATCCTTTGCAGTTGCTATTCATCCTTTTCATATCTGCTTCCGATTCTCGACGCAGTGTGTTCTTCGGCCTGTTTCCTTTCCGCTTCCCTTCAGGAGTTCAAGTTAGTGTTTGCATCGTGATGCAGTTTGGTGATTTCCACAATATATGTCCTATCTATTTCCATCGTCTTTTCCTAATTTCCTCTTAAGCTGAAAGCTGGTTTGTTCCCACATAAGGCTGTTGCTGATGGTATCCGGCCAATGGATGTTAAGTATCTTGCGAAGACAACTATTTATAAATGGTCGTAACTTCACGATGATGGTTGTAGTAGGTCTTCAAGTTTCAGCTCCTCCTGTAGTTCTTCTAGAGTTACTGCCGGTCCCAAGCCTGGGTAAAGCAGGAGGGTTGGGCATGTAATTAGCGACCCCATCCCGTAGAAAACTAATTCGCTAAAAAACGCTAACCAGGAGTATCATACGTGTTATAATATCCTATAACATTTTACCGTTTAAACTTCAGAAATAATGGTAATAGTGTTTTGAGTTTGAGAAAATTTTAACTGAGAAGAAACAGATCTTTGATAATTTCTTCAATGCAAACTTATTTCACCAGAACTAAATACTACACTATATTGTTTGATTATCCTAAAATATGCATCTATTGTGCAACCAAGGATATTCAATGTTAAAATATTATTATTTATTATTTAAACAAAAACGAGGTGAGACTATAACTTATGGACGACCATTGTATGACGCTAAAGTGACCTTGAGAGTGTTCACGTAATAACTAGGATCAAATAAGGGTTGTAAACCAGCGTGAGAAATTAAAATTATGATTTGCAGTTTATAGTTAAGGTTAGGAATTATATGTATAGTTTTCATCACGAACTGACAACAACTATAATGCCAAAACTCTATTTAGCCAAATGGATGGGTGAATGTCGCGCTAGAATCCGAGACCTGTTATCTTTTACCTGATTGGTTCGTCCATAAATCATATAATCTCGCTATCGATAAACGTTGAAAAATCGTTGATGTATGTTTTTGGATGATGAATATCACTGGCTGAACAATATTATTCAACATATTGGACATGACATCATATTTTATTTTTCTATATCGATTTTTAATTAATAGAAAGGTTGACGTTTTTAGTTTCTGTCTTTTGATTATGTTATTCATAAAATCACTTAATAATGTAACTCGTATACCCAGTACATATTGTTTGAAGAGTGTATCGCTTAAATGAAATTAGATGAAATAGAAGTTGGAAATTTGAGCTATTTACTAAAAGAAAATTAGTTCAACCCCTAATCTACTACTTCTGACAAAGGTCAAGTAAGTAGATGCTAATCAGTTTCCAATCTTTTTAGAATAAATAAGCTAAAAATATTTAGTGCAATTCAACTGTCTAACTGATATATTCATTAACTTTTATGAACTCTAACTTGTCAGTTTGAACTCGTTTCTGATTGCTGGGATTAATTTTAGTAAAAAAAAACCACAGTTACAATTAAATTTTTTATTAGCATTGTAGATAATCATTGAAAAATGTTGCTACAAAAATTCTTCAAATGTAACTGTCTGTTTATTAAACACCGATAAGTATGAGCCATTAACAAAGTAAATTGTTTCCGCCACTTTCACTATTCCTTTAAAGAGATAGAAGTGTTTTTTTAGCAAGGTTGTTTTCTACGGGATAAGGTTGCTGAACTTATGCTAAACCTTGCTCCCTTACTCGGGCTTGGGACCACCAGCAATTCTAGAAGAACTACAGATGGAGTTAAAAGACAGAAGTAGGTAAATAATCCTTCAAGGTAATTTAAAAACAATAAAAACGTATAATTCTTGAATTCTTGAAATTCTGAAGGAACTGGTAAACTATTTTTTTCTCCAATTATCCATTTAGTTTATAATAATATATATGTCAATTTGAAAATGATAGAGAGAATTTATATAAATGTTTGTTTTTTACAAACAAAACACTAGCCTCCACCGCCAAGAATCTTAATACTTGGACCAACTGGTACAGGGAAGTCTTTGCACAGTCGTCAAATAGCATTGAATTTAAATCTAGTACATATTGATTTCTTAAGTTTATTACAAGAGATAACATTTCCAAAACTTGGTAAGAAGATTGGCAAACAGTATGCAGATCAAGAACCTATACCGGATATTGTATTGCCTCCGTAAGATATAGAATATATACGATTGTTATAAATTTTATATCATCATTTATTTATATGAGTAGTATTTATTAGTACTTACATGAAATTTCGTAAAAATCGATTTTAATAACAAATTCGTATATGCCTGCTTACATTCATGTTTAGTATCACTGTACTTAAGCTTATCTTAAATATTACAAGTTGGAAAATACACTACCAAGAATTCTTTTTTTTATATTGTCTTTTTAGTTTCTTTAGAATATTATTCTTACTTTTTGATAAGTCCTGCTAATTAAACGTTATATTCGGTTCCTAAGCTCTTCTAGTAACCTCCAGCTGGAAATACACAACGACTTGAACACGAGAGAAAAGTCGCAAAATATGCAAGAAACACCTTATTCCGATGGTTCATTTATGTACAGAAAATATAGGGTTTTTAGAGTATTTTAGATGTCTTTAGGAATTCCCAAAAATTCTAGAATGCTACTGAACATTGTAGCAATGTAGTAATCATCCAATCTGTAACTCGAAATGTGACTTTCCAACTTCTAGATGTTTCTGGTAAAACTTCTAGTGGACGCTGATTGGATAAGATGGTTCCCAGTGTTTTCAGTCTTTCTTGGCTTTTTTCGAGTTTTCTGGATCTCCCCAACACTTTTAATAAATAGATGAATCTAAGACGTTTTCTCTGTTTTATTTCATCTATCAAGTAAATATTTTGTTTACGATAGTTACTGATAAAGATAATAATCATCAAACAAACAATTAATTATATTCAATTCAGTTTAGGAAGATGATAAACATAGAAAATGTGTCATAATAGAACTAGTGTATATGTTCTCATGAAATATTCAATAGTTTCGCTTCTTTTATATCTACACTGCGTGAATATGATGGATAACATGTTGAAAGATGTTTTGTTAACAAAATAATCGGGAATTATAGAATACACTTTGCTTTATGAATCCATTTATTGATTAACTGGTTTAAACATTGACTATATAATAGTTAGTTAAGGTGAGCTTGAGATTGTATAAAGAATGGTCATTTTAAAGGGTTCATAATTTTTTAGGGTAAGACTACAATTTATGGACGAACCAATCAGATTGAGGATAACAGATCTTAGATTTCACCGCGAAACTCATTCACCCATTTGGCTAAATAGAATCTTGGCATTATAGTTGATGTCAGTTCGTGATGAAAACCCTAAATCTAAATCCTAACCCTAACTTTAAACTGTAAATCATAATCCTTATTCTTCAAACTGCTTTATAACCATCAGTTAACCTCAATAAGTAGGTAGGCACTCCCAAGGTCACTTTAGCATCGCTTACTGGTCGTCCATAAGTTATAATCTCATCATTTTTTACATAAAATGAGAATAATTATTTTGCCGGTATATAAAAGCTAAATAGAAGGATGACAAAGCATGTTATTCACTAGTTATCTGATTACTCGCAATAATAATTCATAGAAAAATGCAATAGTTTCTTTTGACTGTTTTTTTCCATCCTAACGACCCGGATAAAAGTCAGGAGACTCCATACTCTTTTAGCACCACACACTTTAATGTAAAACAAACATACATTGTCTTCCGGTTTATAATTTATACTGTTCTATTTATTCTTTTTCTCTTGATTATAAAAGACTTGAAGAGTCAGCAAACGAAAATGATGAGAAACGAGAAGCATCAGAGAATGTAATACAAAAGCCAAACTTAACAGAAATGACAGACGAGTCAGATAAATCACTTTTGTTAGATGAACATGAAACAAATGTTTATGAATATCTATTAAATTCTACATCGATACCTAATGATACATTAGAATGGTTACTTGGGAAGTTTTGGAAACAAGAACCATATAAATCGACTGGTTTCATATTGGATGGTTTTCCTCAAAGTGTAGAAGACCTTCAGTTTTTAGTAACATCAAACTATTTTTTTGATTATGCAATATTTTTAACCACTGAAGCTGACGAAGTTGTCTCCAGATTATTACCACCTAGACTGGAGATATGGCGTAAACTGATGGCAAAAAAAGCCGAGAATGCAGCTAAATTGATGGAATGGAAAACTGCCAAAAAAGTTAGTAGTATGAGAAATTAGTGCTTTCTAAACAAATATAAACTATATAAACTAGCAATTTTACTAAATTCTGTGTCCTCTGGATTGGACTGCTACCTCTTGCTTACTTTGATAACAAATCTTGTTATAAACCATTAGTTTTAATTCAAAACAAATTGATTGTCATACAAATCTAGTTGACCTATTTCATCTTCATATTTAGACTTGTTTGTTTCCTGAATATCGTCTCTGACCAATGAATATGTTACTTCAAAATTGTCAAAATGCTATCACCTGTTACATTCTGTGACCAGATATAGGTGAAAATTTAAGATTTACTCCACAGTATGCGTAAATAAGTAAAGAATTAGGTATAAGCTTATGATCGATTTCCTATATGAACAATATTCATTTGAATACTTTGTTGGATATCTGATGAATGACTCGACATTCAAATGAACTTCGAATTAATCACGGTTTGGAATAGTCGCATGGATGAATAATATTCATTTCATGACATTTAATACTAAATAACACGTTTATCACCACTTGAAACCAAAACAGAATAATAAAATATTACCTAATGTCCCAGTAATTGGACTAAATATAAATAAACAAATACTATGAACGAAGAATATATTCTTTTCAAATTCTACAATTATATATCCAAATTCATAATCTAAAAGATGATCAGGTTTGAGGTTAATACATCGTTTAATATATTATATCATGTCAATTATCTCTCTCGAACCATATTACTTATATCCTACAATATCATACAAACTTGCTCAAGTTGACATTGTATGTTCGTCATCTCAACATATATATATATATATATATATATATATATATATATATATATATATATATATATATATATATATATATATATATATATATATATATATATAGTTGCAGAACATGAAAAGAATTTGTTGCGAAAAGTTGTTCTTTGTTCATACATTTGTGTTTCTAATATGATGGGAATATTCCAGTGACTAGATATCAATGTTAACTGTTATAATTATACGTAAGTATACCACATGGACTTTAAAACTGTTATGAAGAAAGGATGGCATAAATCTTCAGTTGCTTTTAAATATTTAGGGATATACTGTTGTGAATGAGACCTCAAATGGGTAAAACCCATTTAATGTTTACAGAGTGGGTTCGTAAAATATGATAACCATACATTAAACACATTATTTGCCCTGTACGTGCTTAATGATTCTTCCAATTCTATTTTTTAAAACAGTTAATCTCTATTTCCCTTACTGTTCTTTTCAAATGAATCTTCTACTGGCAGACATCCAACTTTCGATTACTGCTAAGTACTACTTATATCTGTCAGTATAAGTAGCATGTACTACAATACTTTATCCATTAATTTCTATCACATAAGTAACTCAATACCTTGCACATAAATGAATGAAAATTATTACTCTATAACGATCGGTTTAGACATTTATCCAGGAAATATCATTTATTATACATATCATTCATTCCAGTTAAGCGTTTAATCATGACTTATATATATTTTTTTCTATTGATCTATCGTTTTTAAGATTCCTTTAAAACTAATTTTTTCCTTATTTTATTTTTACAGAAATTGGCCATGGACAAAAGACGATCGGAAATACTTAAGGAATTAGAAGAGAAGAGAGAAAATGCGAGAGTAAGATCTTTAATTACATGTTATGAACTTGTTTACATGTGAATTCGTTCTTAATACGATTAATCCTCATTTGGTAAATATATATACCACTAGTGTATAGGAATAACTTCATTTAGAATATTATAACTTCATCTGGGTTTCTCATATCTGATTTTCTTCCAATCAATAATTTGATTTTTTGAAAGAATCTGGTTAAATTTCAAGAATCCATTTTATCTTGTTAGGTATTTGGTTGAAATTGTAATATCACTAGTTTCACGGTTTTTACAATATATGTAGTCTTTCTAATAGTCTTACCAAATTGTAATTATTGTTATATACGTATGTACACATATTTGGCTCTAATGAAATGTACAGATAATTATTCAACATGAAAAATAAAATTACATGACTTGTTAATAGTAAATTTTTATCAACTGAGTTGTCTGGTACATATGTTACATATACCCAACCACTGTCTACTTCGATGTGAGATGTCTGATATAGTAGTAAACTAAAAGAAAGCTGAGGGCGACTAAATCAAAACATGGCATCAGTCTATGAAGACATTGATAATCGGACTGAACTATGTTATCAGGTGTAGACTAATTGTTTATTGTATGCATGATTACCGTCATCACTAATTAGAGACCGGGTGGTATGACTCAAAATCATTTAGCATAGCGCAGGTGTATCCAGTCATTGTCTCCTTCCAGATTCTAAACCTTTTTAGTTCCGCTAATTTATATTTTCTTGAGTCGTATCTTAGATACTTAACTTTACCACTAATGCTATTAGTACCTTCGCTACTTTGAGATCTACTCTGATAATTTTATCTCGCTAATTTGATGGAGTATGACAACTTGAAATGATGCATGTAGGTACCAGTTTATACATTATGACTGAATGATTGATTGACTGAGTTGGTATATAACGATTATATTTGACGCCTTCCTTCAAATTTTCTTTTCTATTCATCCTCACCTTATTCGATTTACAGTACAAACCATAAACTCCACATTTTGATAAAATGACTTAAAAACACAATTGTATGAACGAAGAATATTCTTTTCAATAATTTCTCATCAGGTTCTACAATTATAAATCAAGATTAATAATCCATAAAATTGGCCAGATTTAAGGCAAAATACATCATTTGGAAATTGTAATATGTGAATCAGGAATTGTTTGTTATATAAAATAAAATCGTTAATGTTGGGGCTGACTAATATGAAGCGTTAACTTGAATCAGTTTATAAGCGAAATGAAATTGTGAGATAAATTATCAGAGTAAATATGGTCAACATGGGGTAAGAGAGAGAGAATATTGTGATTACAAGTCGGAAATTGCGTAATATGTAAAATAATTAGATCAAATATAGTAGATTCAGGGGTGGATATTGAATAAATTCATCAAAAAGGGGTTATCAAGTGTAAAGACAATAATAATAATAATAATAATAATTGTAGAACCTGATGAGAAATTATTGAAAAGAATATTCTTCGTTCATACAATTTTTCAGCAATTAAAATGCACTTACTTTATGAGAGTTCATAAGAGTGAAGAATTACGTTTCAACATTCAACGTTTTTAAGTGTTTCTAGTTTTACCAATGAATTTAATGTTGTTAAGGAAAGCAAACAACATGATTCTTAAAATCTAACACTCATAAGAAAATATATTAAATTACTTTAATGGACAATATGTTTAACAAAAGTGTTAACTGGTTTAAATTTATAAATTTTCAAAGTATATTAGAGTAAAGCTTAATGAAGATCTAATTAAAAACAATATATTTCGCTCATATATGTTTTTCTAGTTCATAATATGAAGATTTTTAAAGTTTCCATAATAATCACTGTTCATTGAAAAACCTCTGTAAAATAGTTTATTGTGAATATGTATTCATAAACTGTAGTTGATTCACAATGTAACATATTCATTACTGACTTCCTGTCTTGATATAGAACAATATTCTGCATAAGTCACATTTTGATGATGACTGATCATATTTTCCACATAAACATTACTTTTGTCGGGTGGATGAGAGGAAATAGGGATTGATTGTTATCCTAGAGACTAGTAAATAGTCTAACAGGTATTTGATATGTCATATATATATTTCCTTGTATTTATTTGATGGTCGATTGTTAATAGTACAGGTCCTAGTCGGGCGGATCACTCGTTTTTGAGTTGGGTTGTATTGATCCCTGGCTAGGTAGCTAGCATAAAGCATGTGAATTGTGCACGCAGATAAATAGTTCATTGTTTGTTACAAACAATTTAGTGTCCCGTTAGTTTAGGGGAGAAAAACAAGCGTTATTTCAATTTTCAACTAAAAATTTCAAAAAAATGCTTTGTATTTCATTTTTTTTCATTTCATAACTATTTTGAATTCTTCACTACGATAATCATGATGTTATTCCACTACGGATGAAGTGCATATTACAATTGAGTTATTTCTTTTCTATTGACTGAATTGTAGATAAGTTTGTTTGAGTTTCTTCAATTTTTTGGTAGATGAAACAAGCTTCCGATGATCCGGATGTTGGAGAAGATGAAGAACTGGAGGATGAGGTTGATATTGATGAAATCCTGGCAGAAGAATTTGCTGTAAGTTCATCATTACAAGTATTAGCGTTATTCAATAATAATCCTTTTTTCAAATTACAAAACCTGTTCACGCGTTTAGTGATTTTTGGATGATTGAGGTTAAACATTAACATTTTTGGAAGCGAGCTCGGCAGTTTAGAGGTTTAATATTCACTTGTGAATCCGAATGTGAAGGATCGTGAATGCGCTCTGATGAGAAATCCCGTACCGGGACGAAACAGCAGTCCAGTGCTTATAGGTTTAAAACGGTGGCCTTGGTTAGATCAGTTCATGATTATTGATAAATGTATTTGAAATCAAACTGTACGATATGTCGCATTTTATTCGATATTTTTAATTCAACATTATGGTAATAGTTGGAAACAATGAAGTTTATTAGCTTGTATGTGGCTGAGGAGAAAGCAACGAAATATAGTGAACTGATCGTCGTTCTTACTTCCTTTAAAGTTGTAAAGCGAAACAAATCCATTAATTAGATATTTCTGTTTTGTTATGATGTTAATACTTCTAATATACTCTGAACCTTCCTATGTTTTCGTTTATTGTTTTTCGTTTACGAAGTACAAGTTTATGCACCCAGCTCTAAACTACAGTGCTTATGTGGCTATCCAAAAAAAGATGCAACAGGTTTTGAACCCGTGACATCTGAACTGAAATCAAGTCTTAAGTCTTTAAATTAATACGCCACGAATTTATGTGAAATGTTTCTTTATTAGTATAAGCTTTTTATAAGTGAAACGGTTAATTATTTATTTTAATTGAAGTTAATGATATAGCATTTGGCTAGAAAAATACGTGTATAAGAAAAGTCTTGGTACGAATGTAATCCATTCCGCTGTTCATCAACATACTAAGAGCAAGTATATTATTCGTCATCCTTGTATGTGGCCATCCGCACATGAAACATGGACACTGAAAACGGGAAATATATGGGAAATGTTAGACTTTCGAACTATTGGTGAAATGAGCACAATAATTTGAGAGAGGGTTAAAACTAGTGTTCTGAGTGTAAAAGTAAATGAATCCATTAGATTATAAAACTGTCTGTTAAGGTTGTTGAATCGTCTGTCACTGATCGCAACTGACAGACTTCTTTAAACATATAATACTGGTCGCTATAAAACTATGCAAACAAATTGATAAAAATAAGTAAACTAAGATTGGAATTCATTGTCGAAGCAACTAACTGCTAGCCTACAGTATTCGCCACTATTTATCCTTGAGTTATCACAAATCTGTAGATGTTAAGACTCCCATCCTCACATCGATTAGGTTTGTGATGGATAAAATAAATCGGTAGTAAACAAACACATAAATAAACCTGAGTAGTACAGTTTTAAAGCATTTTGCTTAAGGTATTTTTTAATAAATTGAATGTGACACTATAAGTTAGAGGATAAATCGCCAAAATCAAAAAAATCAAAAACGAAGCATTTTATGATTTTAATCTATTAAAATGCAATGTTTATAACACTTTGTAATTCTATAAAGGATTGGATAGTAGTTTTCATCTGAAGCTAACATCAGTTGGAGAATTGTGCAAAACACGGAACACCGAACATCTGTCCAATAACAGTTTTGATAGTATAAAAATGAATTTCATACTATAACTTATCGATGAACGAAAGTAGGATTATGACTAGTGGTTAACAGTGAAATTCAGAACGCTCGTTTCGTCCTATTTTGAACTCAGTGGATAAGTGGACAACATGATGGCGTTTGGAGTGAACAGTACTGGGTTGGAGTGAACATCAACTCTGAGACGCAGGTACATCCGACTGACGAGTCCCAAATACGACGAAATGCGCATTCTGGATTCTACTGCTATTCACCATCCATCTTTTCTGATAATGTTTGTAACTTAAGGCAATCCACACAGGATGGACATATGCCAATAAGAGGCTGGTCAATCGCAATCCTAAACGTCATTAAGATTCAAACAAACACTACAAAAATGAATTAAAAATAGGATTTCTATTTATTCATGGGTTATTATATGCTTTTTAATACTTTTAATTTCATCAAGGAAGATGAAGAGGAAATGGATGATGAAGAAGAAGAGACTGAAGCTGATGTTGTAGAACGATTAACTGAAGAGATCACTGAAACATTTAATGATTCGAATGATGTTTTTACAGAAATATCTGAACAAATTGATGATTTATCTATACCAAAGTATGAAATTAATGCTGGTGGCAAAATTACATGGGCTCGTTATCGAATTGTTAAAGTGAGTAAAACATTACATAGTTTTATTTATTTCAAGTTTTCTCTTACTTAATTAAATAGATGTCATAATGTTGTTTTGAATGACAGTGAAGGCTTTTAAATTAACCGATTTATCTATCTGAGAAAATGAAGCGCAGCCAAAAACATTTACCTGAACCTCTTTGAATTACCCCTTTGCTGATAATCTTGGGTAAAAATATGAAAACATAGGTGTATCAAGATAATCCGTACAAAACCCACAAACACCAACAAAAGCAGATTCAAATTCAGTCATGATTATCGGTAACGGGATAATTCAAATCGTTTCTAATAATGTTATGTTTGACTAAGATTTTTGTAAGTTCTACCTTATTATCCTAGTAAATCATCTACAAATAATGTCACGAACTTTATTTGGGGAGTATTCAATTCTCTAAACTTGATATTTTTATCCTTACACACAATTTTGTCAAGATGAATCAAATTAGTTTTCTGTGTTAGATTTATTTTAATTTTCTTTTTTCTTGACCTAATCACTGAGACTATAGATGTCTATTATTTTTATTACTGGACAATAGATTAGGCGTTTTTCAATATGTACATCGAATACTGAGTGGCATGAGTATAAGAAACTATTATGGACGACAATCGGAAGGGGATCAACGAAGCACTAACTTCAAAGTGTCTGGAGGCATCATACAAAATAGATCGCTACCAAAACCATAGACTAGATTCAAGAAAAGAAGAACAAGAAGACAGCAATTAACAACAGTCGAACAACAGCGTAGAAAGTCAAAGCACAAGCTGCACATAAACAAGTAAAAAAGAGCATTAGAGCTGACAACCATAAGTGCGTAGAAGACCTGACAACAACAGCGGAGAAAGATGCAAGAGAACGGAATATGAAACAACTATATGACACAGCGAAGAAACTAGAGGAAAAATATACTAAACCAGAGAGACCAGTCAATGACAAAGAAGATAAACCAATCACTGAAATTCAAGGACAGAGGAATAGATTATCAGAACACTTCGTGGAACTCTTAAATAGACCAGCTCCGTTGAATCGAATGGAGATCGAAGCAGCACACAGCCCTTTCTATAGATGTCATTCCATCAACGATTGAAGAAATCAGAATGGCTATCAGACAAATCAAGAGCGGGAAAGCAGCAGGATTTGACAATATACCAGCTGAAGCACCAAAGTCAGACATAAAAGTAACTACAAACATGCTCCACGTTCTATTCAGTTAGATTTGGAAGAGAGAACAGACTGTAAAGATAGATACCTCACCAAGATCTAGAGAAAGATCTGAGCAAATGAAAGAAATATAGAGCCATCACAGTACTGCCAGTACTAGGAAAAGTTTTCAATGGAGAACTGCTGATGCAGATTAAATATTCAGTAGACGCCCAACTTTGAGATCAACAGACCGAATTCCGTAAGAATCGGCCGTGCACAGACCAAATCGCAACACTACAGATCATCGTTGAGTAATCAACTGAATGAGATTCGTCATTATAAATCAACTTCATTGACTGTGAGAAGGCGTTTAGTAGTGTGGATAGTAGAATCTCATGGACCCTTCTTCGACACTATGGTGTACCTGAGAAGATCGTCAATGTCATACGACAGACCACACTACAAAGTCGGGTATGAAGGACAACTGACAGACGCATTTTAAGCAAGGACTGGTGTCAGACAAGGTTGCCTACTCCCCTCTTTTTTCTTTATTCTAGTGGTTGACTGGATTATGAAGACCTCGACATCTGAGGGAAAGCACAGAATAAAATGGACAGGTTGTATGCAACTAAACGATTTGAACTTCACAGATGACCTGACCCTTCTATCCCAGATACATCAACAAATATCGGCCAAGACAACCAATGTAGCAGCAGCTTCCGCAGCAGTAGGCCTCAACATGCACAAAGGAAAAATTAGACCTTGAAGTACAACACGGAAAACAACTGTCAACCAATATCAAAGTCAGAATGTTCAATAAGTTAACGTTAACAAGAGGGCATCTATATATTTTCTATTTTGGTTTGTAGACAGCTGATTTTATTGATCGCTGGGTTATTGTTACTATAATCAAGAATTTTATTATTTTAGATTGACTTTTTGGTGACTCGAGATCTGACTCCATTTGGATCGTAGGAATGATTGCTATTGAAAGATACATATCGTCAGTCATCACTTATAATCGTCGACCTAAATCGGGTCAGTGAATAATGGAATTAAATAAGTCGAATGCGAGAATGAAGTTTGAATGTGCATATTTCAGACAGTCGTTGATCGGAGAGTGAAGCAAAACGAAACGACGCACAATAGAGGGAACTGAGCCAATTCAAATTAGTCAAGCGTGAATCGATCTTTATATTCATAAAAATAAGTTACAGACATGTGATGAGTAAAATGAGAAATGCACACATACAATTACATAAAAAACAGTTAAGGTTAATAAGCGAATAATTAACAAGGTCAAAATGTGACTCCAGAATGGTGAATAAATTGACCTGTCCGGGAGCTAGAATAAACCATGTGGGGTCACGTATCAACCGACACTATAACTTTCGATAAACTTAGTCTTCTAGTTGTATTGTATTGGTTCATAATAATAGCTGATTATTTCACCCATTATTTGGTGTATAGGGTACATAAATCACGATGCTACTGAGCAAATTAAAATATATTTTATCCTGTCTTTCCTACTAAGGACAGCTTGATATTTGGGTCCACATTTGTGACTATGTCTAATAAGAGACAGAAAATCTAGTCTCTTCATTCCTGCTTCTATAATCATTCCGCGTACTGATGATCCCACAGATGTTTTCTTCGTTTGTTTGTATATTATACTGCTAGACTAAAAATATGTTGTCTGAAGTAGATCTTTAAGCTCAGTTAATCTCAAACTTTAACGTTTTCTAATATCGGAATGATTCTCATCAATTTTGAATAACAAGAATACCGTCTATATGTACATACATTTATACGTCCAGTGTTGGTTCAGCTAAAATAAGTATGGGTGAGACGCCTCATAATACCATTGATTTGTTATTTTAGATTTGAATATATCTCATAAGTCCAATCATAATCTTCTGTATCCATAATTACAGTGGTTCACTCTTTATCAATTAAAAAGTGGTAAAATTCAATATTTGGGGTCCACTGTCAAATACTTAAGGGTTTTCTGTGAACTATCATCCGAACTGGCTTGTTTGAATAATATCTATGATGAATACCAACATGAACATTTTTATTATATTCTGTCATTGATATGAGTAACATTTCATCATTGGAGTTTCCGAAAATTAATTTCCTGTTGGAAGATCCTTCCGTCGACTTGAAGCTTTGACTTCACATTCTACCTAGTAAAGACGTTGACGAAACATATATTCTTCTAAGTAAATTGTTTCAAAGTGAGAGAAGTTTTTGAGTGTCTTTCTTTACCTTCAAAATCTAAATGCTGATTATGAACAGATCTTCATGAATCCCTATTTCACTCCATTGAGTTAAACAGATTATTTTGTTGAGTACTTCCACCAACTTTAGTCTTATTAGCACTGTTGACTTAATGACAAACTGTAATCAACAGGAAAATAAGTTACTTAGTAGGGTTTTATCAACCCATTCCTTATGTGGTACAAGCTAGATGTCTTTTTGGATATTAAATACTATGCATAATGTATCAATAAATCTCTAGGGCTGTAAAATATGATTACATGAAACCAAAGGCATATGTAGTTGATTAATATGTGGTCTCAGATACCTTCAAGGTATTTCTAACTTGTAATTGATTTACATAGTGATTAGTGTTCTTGATAGTTGTCAGATAGTAAGTAGAAATAGTGAATTGGTCAATGAAACTGTGAACAGAAACTGTATAAATTAGATATGACATGTCACCCACACCTATCTACCTACCTATTATCCAAATATTTGATCTTTGCTATCAAAAACGCGGAGAGTTACCTGGCGAACTTGCTATTATTTTACAAAGTTACTGACTTAAGAAATAAGCATACTGGAAGGATACAGACTTATTAGTCAATTTTTATGAACTATATTTAAAGACTTTAGATAATAAAACTTAAAATCGATCATAGTAGAGTAATTTTGTTCAATTTCTTTTATTTTCTAAATTTTACTTTCTCAAAATTACTCTTTCTCTCGGAATATGTTCTTAAATTATGGCTCATCATCGATATTAGTATTGGTATTTCGACTTTGATTTTTTAATATTTTTAAAATTTACTCTCGTTGGGAATTGTCGGAACTGGAGCTACGTCATACATTACTCATGACTAAATAAACAGTATTTAATTTAAAATGATAAACATTTATTGATAACTTATACAAAGCCATATTTATGTCGGTATTTCATTCTTTAGCGCTTACATAGTTTATTAGAGAACCGTAACTCATTATTTGAACGTGTCTATCCAATTACACCAAACATTGCGGAACGTTTATTAATTAATGGCTATTATTTTCCAAGCTCATATGGTCGATGGTGTCCAGTTACATTGTACTTTCAAAATACATGGCTTCCACCTATTCCAATGCCTAATATAAAAGTTGGTAATCCGAAATATTTGAGTAAATTACCTGGGATTATTGGTGAAACATTACCTATAGTTAAAGCTAAAACATGTGCTGCAATTTATAAACAACATATCTATTGGTTTATGAATTCTAATGCTCGTGGATTATTCATGAAAAATCCTTTGAAGTATACACAGAAATGTACAGATCCACCATTTAGAGTACCATTAAGATTACATATTATAGGACCTCCAAAAAGCGGCAAAACAACTAGTAAGTTTACATTAATCAAAATTAATGTTGTTTCTAATAAATTAGTTAGTAGTTATTGATTTTCCATTTCTCAATAGTTATCTTTTCTGTTAACTACTTAATTCCGACTAGCGTTTTTTAGCAAGGTTTTTTTTCTACGAAATAGAGTTGATAACTCTATGCAAAACGCTTATCCTTTACCCGGGCTTGAAACCGGCAGTGGCCATAGAACAACTACAGGCGGAGTTATCTGCTTAATACTTATTATTATTATGTACTGAAAAACTATCAATAAGCCGGATTTATTCTTTTAACTTAAATTTATACAAAATGTTATCTGTCGTCCGTATATAATAAAGAAATGATAAAAAAACATATCAAAAATTTTTATTTATCTATTCAGAATAATGTTTGGTTTGCAAAGACGGATACTGGTTAGCAGTGCAATCCGGAATGCGCGTTTCGTCCCATTTCGGACTCGTCAGCTAAGCGTACCTGCATCTCATAATTGATGTCCACTCTGGGACTCGAACCCAGTGCTGTTCGCTTCAAACATCATAGCGTCATTCACTTAAATACTAATTCCTGATAGCCACCTGCTTGTGGAATGGGGTGAAGTTTTAAACTCACTTGGTGTTGTTTGCTTGTAGCTTCCCATTGTTATTTAGGACTGCTATTGACCATATGTGCATGCTATATGGTACTGGGTTCGAGTTTCAAACTGAACATCAACTCTGAGATGCAGGTACATCCGGCCGAAGAGTCCCGAATAGGACGAAACGCGCGTCAAATTGAATTCTACTGCTAGCTACTATCCATCTTTGTTTAAAAAGCTTGTGAATTAAGGCAATATCGAGGCAATCCGTACATGATGCACGTATGTCAACAAGAAACTGATCAATGGCGACCCTAAATAACAATCGGGAGGGTACAAGTAAACACCAATTTAATGTTTGATTATATTATCATTTGCAAATAAGAAATTTAATTAAATGAAAAACGTTATCATGATAAAATGATAAGAAGTTTTATTTATTCTACAGAAAAGTAGTTTTTATGAAAGTAGAATAAAATTAACAGAAAAATCTCAACTTATTGAAAATAAAATAATAAAGTTTTTAAGGTTAAGTGTTTATATGTGAGGTCATAGGTTCTGAGTTTGATTCTCGCTGATGAGATCATGAATGGGTACTGCTGAGTAGTATTATGCTAGGAAAGAATAAATGTCCAGTGCTCTTACGTTTTAGAATTTTTTTTTAATCTTGAGAATGTTATTAGATAAATTTGATTTTGAACAACTACCTAGTGGTCCAATCAGTTAATATACTATTTGTAGGATACGTCCTCACTATATAAAGTTCACCACGAAATGGGTTTATGACAATTAAATAGACCAAACTATTCTAGTTCATTAATAAATACATTTTAAACCTTCACACCTTTTACTCATTAATTTAAATTGTCTGAATTCTATTTCATAGTCTCTTTAATTGTCGTACGCTTTCAAAATAGAGTTAAACAGGGAACGTAATTCGTATAATTTTAAAACAAGAGATATAATTTTTTGTTTGACTTATTTTTGTTATTCTTAGTAAAAATAAACAAATTATTTCCGATATGACGAGTGAAGATGATGACATTATAGAGATCAGTAATTTTTTGTCAATTAATTATGAATTTCTAACATGGTAACATATATGAACTTCAGTCAACGTGGCGTTTTAAGACCAATAATTCTTGGATTATTTCAGAGCAAACTCTTTTAATATGACAAGTATGAACTTTCAGTGTGACAATTATATTTCCTTGATCTGTTAATGTGAACCACATTCAGTGCGTTTTCACAGTAACTCTATGTATTTTCCTCAAAATGTGAGATTAACGTGTCAAAATTGTTATATAAATGATTGTATTCTGGTCTAATGATGGTGTGATTTTGAAACATGTTTAGAGACGTTATTTTTTGGGAGGCACTAAATCTTCATTAGATAAGTATTTCTTTTTCTACTTTGGGTCGTAGGATTTGTAGTAGTTACCGATTGTCGAGTTTAAGCAGGAAAACCGCGGACCTAACAAAGTCAACACGTACATTAACAGAGGCGATCTCCAGATGGAACGGTGGTGACGAGAATTGGACAACAGTTAAAACCACCAGTATACAGCAATTTCGAATTGTTACAGGGATTATCGATGAATAATAAGTACAGGATAGTCCTAAATCATTAGTACTTGATCATAGATGACTTCGAAGCACTGTTTGAATATGTTGGGATTACCGAGTAAGCAACGTCGAGATTAAGTACAGAGTACTAGATAAAGATGGTAAATCGGTTGGTGGTACAGTGAAGTTTCATCAACTGAGATCCTTAGGATGAGTACCACTTATGTCCTTCCACTGACAATCTTGATGTGTGATATTAATTGATAAAAGAGTAAACTGGATGAAAGTTATTGGAGGCAAAATTAGAAATCAGTCTATGATATCACTGATTGTTAGAGTAGTATAGTTAGGTTAATAGTACACGCAGGGAAATCCACGTTATCGTTATATATGTTCCATAACCGAAATCATGGTTGATCAAGTCGAAGTTTCACGTGAATAAAATGTTTCAAGGTTGAAAAACAATGTAATTTAGCGGACACATAACATTAGATTGTTTTTATCTACTTCCGAAGTTGGTGCTTATGAAGTCATCAAATCGTACTATCAAATAATCATGAACAAAGGAATTCAGACAACCATTCTTCGATTACTTGTGTACTGTGTTATTGGTGATATACCTGAGTGACTACTAAGATTAAAGATATTCAATTTTATTGTATAGATTGATTGTTTCAATTTTCCGCTTTTTATAGATCACTTTCAATGTCAGATTAGACGGCATATTACATGTGTAACCACAAAATAACTGTAAATGTTCTTTTTAACGATTTTCGGTACATGTATACGCATTAAAAATAATGAAACATTAATTACATAACATCTCCATTTCATAAGAACTTATTGACAATCAGAATAGGAAGGTTAGAAACAATGATACTGACTGTTAGATTATGTTTTTTCAAGAGAGTTAATTAGTGTTGTTTATAAACCTTCCATTTAACTGAAGTATTTTCCCAATTACTTAGATTTTAACTGATTAGCTTATAAGAACTGAAACTGAAACTCATCTATTAGGTAATCAATATAACAGATGCTTCAACGTTATATTCCTAGCTCGGAAGAAAATAAGCTATGTCCAATCACTTCATAGTTTGTACTCAAACTATTCTACTAATCTTAAATCATTGCAGTGACATTGTAGTATTCAGATCTATTTAAATCCCATAACTTAAACATATGTAAGTTAAATTGATTTAATGTACAACTTCTTAAGTTTAATCTACTTTATCAAAATACTGATTTATCTCTAGTTAAATATTTGAATATTAAAGCTGAACTGATTCTATTTTATCAAATTAGATTTGATGGTTATGTTGTATTTCCTCTGATATTATCAACTGATTTTGAATTGTACAAAATATCTTTACCAAGATAATAAAACCTGTCTTATGTTACAATAGCTAAAGATAATTTTTATTGTCATAGCTAACTAACTAATGAAGTAACCAACCCATCCTATGTCATTTTTTATTTATTTAGTTCTTTTCTGGTCATATCAAGAAACAATCTGAGATTTATATAGATTTTGAACTGTACGACTAGTTACCGTTTAATTTAATGTCTTGATTGACTATGTAATTAGTTGTTGAACAATCAGTTCATGCTTGAAAGTTATTTATTGTTTAAACAGGAGAGATATAACTTCTTTCGATAGTTGGTAAATATTCTTTTAATTAGTAATTAATTAATTAAATTTGTTTACCTGATACAATTAGAAATCAATACTTCTTAATTAATATCAAAAGGGTTTTTGTGAAAATTATAGTAACTTCAATGGTTGAAATCAAGAGGTATATCCTGGAGTTCTAGTGAGAAGCAGTGACCAGTGGAGTTCAACCAGGTCTGTTGTGAAATAGTAACTCACTGATGACAATGATGGATGTGTCGCTCATTTCCGTGGATTAGTTGAAGCTAAACATTAACACCGTTGGATTCCGGCTCAATGGTCTCATGGTTAAGCGCTCGCGCGCGAGACTGATAGGTCCTGGGTTCGAATCTTGCGGGAGCAAGATTGTGGACGCGCACTACTGAGGAGTCCCATACTGAGGTGAAACAGCCGTTCAGTGCTTCCAGGTTTTCCATGGTGGTCTAGCTTCTTAATTAGTTTTTAAAAAGTAGTTTTCTTTCTATAGACATATCTATAATTGTTAGGAAGGAGTAATAAGAAATTTAGTAATTTATTTATATATTTAGTTAATGCAATTAAATCTTTTAATATTGTAGATTATATATAAGCTTCTAGTTATTAATTAATTTATGTCAATTACTGTTTAAATTCACTCGGTATTGTTTTACTTGTATCTTCCTGTTGTTATTTAAGACTGTGATTGATCAGTCTCATGTTGGCATATGTGCATCCTGTGCGGATTGTTTCGATATAGCCTTAAGTCACAAGCTTTTAAGAATCCCAGAATGAACATCAACTCTGAGATGCAGGCAAATCCAGTTGACGAGTTTCAAATAGGACGAAACGCGCGTCCTGCATTCCATTGTTAGCCACTACCCATTTTTGCTTAAAAATTACTGTTTAGTTTAGTATGATCACAATCGAATACTGACCAGAAAAGTAAATAATATCTTAGTACGGTATTTTGATAAATATACTTCTGATAAGTGGTTGGATCAACTAGGAACTTATCATACGTTCATAATAAAATCTTCATCTACATTCTTACTTTGTTCCTTACATATAGTCGTAGTAATCTTTGTTCAGTTATTGATTAGCAAGTAACCAGTTGTGTCCTCAGTTATAATAAGTAATTAAAATGGTATTTTCTCAAGATTTAACAATAATGTAATGGAATAAACTTTTTTTTAATGTAGATATAGTTAACCAGCTTGAAAGTTTCTGAGATAT